GCATCACAATGAAGTAGTCCGAGTCCTCTGTGAAGCGGACAAATTTACGGACCAGCATCCCATTGGTCATTGCATTGGTGCTGTCGGCTCTCCAACGTCCCACCGCTGGTAATACCCTCTGTGGGATGACGATTTTAGGTGGAAAAACGGCATACGTCAAAAGATTGCATCGATTTCTCGCAGCCATAAAGGCGTTCAAGTCCCATGTAGCGATGAACAGTCAGCATGCGCAATGTTCGATGAAACAATACAACGTAGTTTCCGCAGGGGGACCAAGCAATCGGATCGCCGTGCACGCGAAGATCAAAAAACTGAAAGCGTGCAATAACTGAAAAGATAAGGCACCTCCTCATCAAGTGTCAGTGTGCGGAGTAGCTCACGACTCGCCAATTGTCCAGAGGTGCCTAAAATGTGAAAGAGGCTGTGTTTTTCGATCGAAGTTAAGCGCGTACCAGGCCGCATATCTCCCAACTCGCGCCTTCGTAGCATCCGCATTGGGTGCTGTGGTGTGCTGAACCTCACTCGCTCCCATTCCTCTCGGGTTAATACGCCACGTTCCACCATATCTCTAAACCCCCAACTAATCAACGAGCTGGACAAATTACAGAAAGTTCTCTAGTCAGTCAGATACCATCGGATCGAATCGGAAATTCGTGTTTAAATTACCCTTTATTCGCATAGCACAGAATAACATTGCCATCACAATCAATTTTTCAACGGAAAATTTGTTGGCGGATTTGCCGGGGGAACACAGACTAGGCAGACTACCTTGCTACGAGACGCGGAACCTGTTAACGGGAGACACAATTTAATCATAATTGAATGACAAATGCATACTTAGCCGGAAAGGGTAGAATGTCACAGCTTCTAAAATTTGGGGCTAATCCGGGTATATATGGCGCGTCCGAAGCGGTAGGTGCAGTAGCCGACAGTTCCCCAGAAAGCCAGCCTGATGGTGCCGCCTAAATACGATTATTACCGAGGCTCAACTAAAAGCAAAAAAATATACGCCTTACCGATGATGCGTGAAGACAATGGCTGTGGCGGGATTTCAACAAGCGGTAGAATGTTGATGTCATCTCCCCACCTGTAATTCAAGAATGAATGTTTCAGGAAGAAACAGTACCTGGCCTCGATACCGGGCATATGTCCTATTCCGACCACAGCCACAACGCGCAGTGGTTGCCAGGCACAATTTGTTCGCGACCAAGCCTCCCTACAACCAAGACGATCCTTATAAACATGAAGTAAATTACCTTTTTGACTCGGTCTGACGGAGCAATAGCGTGTGAAGCGCATGTGCCATGTACGCATCGCGCTCATCGACAAAAATTTTGGACAGCTTTGGAAAATCGCCGGCCATCTAAATTATCCTCCATGCAATAATTCGGGGGTACTCACCTCTGCCAACAGCTGCTCTAATAAATCCTTCTGTTTGCACTTTTCAACGTCCTCTTGAGTAATTTTCGAGTTGTGCGAGATTAAGATGTGGTAGAAGAATCTGAAAGCGAGGCATTATAAGGTTTCTCCACAAACAATTACTTTAGTTTTTGGAAGAAGGTCATCGAGGCGAGGGCGCGTTGTAGCGTTATTTGAATTGGACGGTCACCAAGGATAAGACGACACTGCTCCACTTCGACCGATGCCCTGAACATCAATAACAAAATTATTGGTAAGACCGACTTGTGGGCAGCTCGAAATTCGCCTCCGGGCGCCATTGACAGCTCACGGGTGATATGCGCCGACATCGAGAGAAGAAGCACGTGTAGAATTCCGTGCACCAGGCCGGACTAAAGAAAATACGCGTTTTGTTAAAGGCAAAAACCAACCTGTTTGATGGTCTGCATTATTTTGCTGGAATTCAGATCCTTGGCCTCCCGGAGCAGCGTTTGTTCGTCCAGGGAGAGGATCGTGATACGGCTTGGGCAAAGTTCGACCATAACCAGGTCTGGCTGTACGGCTTTTATGGTACGAATCACATCTGGAAACGTTAGGTGTTTTCAAACGTATCGCGTCACGACAGCTGTAAAAATATTACTAACCTTCCTGGCTATCTCTACTGAAATGCGCAGTTCCGACCAAGTAAACCGTCGCATCCTGAAAAGGTTACACAGACAAAAAGGCCCAATTTACCTCAAACGCCGCATTCCAGTCTTTCTGATTCTGGTTAGGCGGGCAGTCGGGAAAATCGAAGGGAAATTTCAAAACAGTAACTAAATCCGGAATATCTTGAAACGGTGATAAGCTAACCTGTGCTAGGGAGTTCAATGTGCAACGGACGTTGGCGTTCGAACATGAAGCCTCCAAATATACGACTCTGAACATTTCCGGTAAAAAACCCCGATAAAAAATGGTTACCTGGTGCTGCTGCTCGGTCTTTTCTTGACCACCCGTGCCCGCTTCTTCCAGGTCGTCATATTCGTCAGTGATCTAAACGACGAAATGATAATAGAAAGCCCGAAAAATACATGTTCATCGAAGTTGCTGCTCGAATCGGCAAGCGAAACGATTGAAGGATCGGCATGTTCGGACGCTGGATTCGCCGAGCCTGTCGCCAAATCTTTCATCCGGAACAGATCCTAGAAAAAAAAATTGATCAGTAGAGGTCTTTGCTAAAATATTTTCTCGGCTAATTCTTTAAAAGCTGTACCTCTTCCGTGAGCTGACCCCTCTCATCATCGCTATTCTTCGGGATCAGTTCCGGTGGACTGTCTCCGTTATCTCCGCTGGCGCTCGACATCTAAAATTTTGCCGTGTTATTTTGAGACTATTATCATTCCGGAGAGCATTCACTTGAAAGATAGAACGCGAAAATGAATAGAAAAGAGGGTAATGCTGAGCCCGTTGGTGCGATAAACGCTCGCCCCGCGAAATTTCTGTGGATGAGCTGGTCAGTTGTAAAGGGGGTACTTCACAAAATGTCGCAACATTGCTAATCGAATCTCATCATGCAGTTTTTTGTTTTTTATAGTCACATAAAGTCATGAATCTAATAGATATCGTGGCTCGCAATAGCTATGTCAGTTGTAGCGGGGAGTAGCCGCCGATATCTCAAGCCACCTTAGGTTCGCTCGCGGCCCGAAAATCCAGGCAGGCTCAGATTTGCTAGTATAATGCTGCGTAAAAAAAATAGTATAGTTATGCCGCGAGTAATTTATCAATAACCAAGGATTTTCCCTGCAAGACGAATCGCTTCTAGATAAACTTAAGCCCATAGATGCGACCTGCGGAAACAAATCTACCCAGAAAATTTTACTTTAAGTCCACATAGGCCGCTTCCGACGCCAACCGTCGCGGAATTTGAAGTCGACTCGTCATAAGGAGCCTCCCTGCTGAGTGGAACTGAGGGAACTATGAAAATATTGTAGGAAAAAGGGTCGGCCTTTTTTCTCGGTTTCCTGGGGCGACAGTTTGACCTGCGACTTTTTTGGAGAGAAGGGCTAAACTCTAGTTTACCCCCCAGCCGTAACTTTTCAGCCATACGTCCTATTAATGCGCCGAGTATCTCAAAATGTTCCCCGTGGTCGAATTACTATAAAAAAGTTGTTTTCTTACATACAAAATTGTTAGAAAAATTTTTATAACAATTATAAGTCTGGGTTTTCTTTAGTTAATTTTTGCTGTTCCAAAGTGAGTTTTCGTATCTCGGCTATCTTTTGACGTACAGAGCTGTCAATGGTACCAAAATGTAGCTCTTGCTCTGTAGAATAAGCCTACAGTACGTTTGAGTCGAAAAAAATAGCGGAAAATAAAAATATTTGAGTTTTAGGCTCCTGGTACATTGAAGCACAGCGGCTTAATCTTTTCAACTTTCAAAATCTTGTAAAAAAAATTCTAGCAATTTTTGCCGCAAGAAAACAACTTTTTTATAGTAATTCGACCACGGCGAACATTTTGAGATACTCCGCGCATTAATAGGACGTATGGCTGAAAAGTTAGGGCTGGGGGGTAAACTAGAGTCTTACCGAGAGAAGAAGCCATCCGGGCGAAAATTAATTAATGTCGAATACTGAGCAAAGCGGCGTTCAGTGTCTTGTATTTCTGCAGGCAAAGCGGGCACTTCTTCTTCTTCACGAACTCTTCATTGAGCATGCATACTTGACAGACGGGATGCGTACAGGTCAACATCATGGGCTGGTGGAGTCTAGGAAAAGAGTGAAAAGCTACTGAAAGTATCTACCGAGAGTTATACCACCACCCCGCAGTCGGTGACAGGACATGTGGGGAACAGGCCAGCCAGAACATCCGAAGGCGTCATCTGAAGCATGTAATAACAATGGATTGCACAATACGACAAAAAAAGACAAAGGATGAAAAAGAAAGAATATATAGAAATTTTGGTTCATTCAAAATATCGGGGTAGGGGTTTTGCGGAAAAAATCGTACAGGGTGGCCAGAAAAAAAAAAAGTGCCTGGTTTGCGTCAAAATATCTCGCCGGCAGAAACGAATTGAACTATCGTTACCTTGTCAGAATGCTTAAATATGCTGCGTATGAAGAATAAACACAAGTTGTTTTTTTATGATTTTTGACGACCCCGTCGTCAAAAGTTTTGACCATTTTTAAAAAAGTTTTGATTAGTTTTGATTTGACTTTTGATGAGTTAGTGGGACTTCAAGGGTATCAAAAAGTCGAGCAGAGGCGATTCCGAATTGACCATAAAAAGCACATAAAAGTTCCATGCTTTTCCTCTTCTAAGTTTTCTACTTTTTTAAAAATGTTCAAAACTTTTTAACGAGTAGGGCGTCGTCAAAAATCATAAAAAACAACTTGTGTTTATTCTTCATACCCAACATCTTTAAGCATTCTGACAAGGTAACGATGGTTCAATTCGTTTCCCCAGCGAGATATTTTGACGCAAACCAGGCACTTTTTTTTTTCTGGCCACCCTGTATAAGAAAATGGCGGTTCCGACCGAGAGTGCGTATCCGGGACCATGACATTTCCGCCAGCGGCATTTCTGCCAACGGCCAAAATGCGCTGTTTCATGCGTGTAGTCCTAACAATTCAAGTTCAATTGCTTTCGTCCGGATCTAGCTATTACAGAAGAAATAACAAACTTATGATGGATTTTTCTTGCAAATCAGATTTTGCACCGGAAAAGGTAAAAAGCGCGGTATTATGCCCAAAACAACCCTCCCGCATCGTAATTTCTTCTCTACTAGCATTTACTTATGTTATTTGAATTTATTAATGCCAAAAACAAAAAATCTTTAATTTGGAGGGTTTTGTACGTTTTTGATCTCAAATTGGCGGAAGTGTCGCTGGCAGGAATGTGGCGTCCGGTCACTACCCCGAAAGTCACTACCCCGAAAAGTCGCTGCCCCGAAAAGTCACTGCCCCGAAAGTCACTACCCCGAAAAGTCACTACCCCGAAAAGTCACTACCTCGGAAAGTCACTACCCCGAAATCGTTTACCCCGAAAAATGACAGCATTGTTTTTCCCGGAAAAATCCAGTTTTCATTCAGATTTCCTATGAAAAACATGCAAATTTGGTAAGAGTCTAGAAACCCCCCAGCCCGCACCAACTTTTGTATCTCTGCCCCCCTTTGTGCTAGCGCGCTCTAAAGTATACCAAAATGCTCGCCGTTGGCTAATTAGTAAGACTACATTGCAGTTCAGTCGAAAAAGTAGAGAAAAATAAAAATAAGGAAGGTAGAAAAGTTGAAAAGTCGGCTGGGGGGGGGGGTTCCTAGACTTGAGCCGCAAATTTTTTCGGGGTAGTCCCTTTTCGGGGTAGTGACTTTTCGGGGTAGTGACTTTACCCCCAGGAATGTCATGGTCCCGCAAAACTTCCTCTCTTCCGCTTCTGTTTCGTTCTTTTTATCGAGCAATCCTAAATTTTAGTACATACAATGAATCAGCAAACCGGGCCATCTATTAACGCAAATCAGCCGCTTTCCGTTCAGCAAGAGGAGATTCAAAAGCTCCAGATTCAGGTTAGTTTTAGCTATATTTGCAATTCGAAATTTCGTTTAGATGGCTGATCTACTGAAGGAATCAAAGCGAACGCGGCAGGCGGTTCGAAGAATTTCACCCTACAGATTATCTATCTATTTAGGCGGGAAGAGCGAAAATTCTGATGTTGAACTGGCAAAAGGCCAATCTACCATCCGGATCCGGGGGCGTTGGGAATGAGAAAAGGGTTGGTTTCGAGCGTAGTTTCTGAATTTTTATTTAGATAGATGACAAGTATCGCGGCCTAATCAAAGAACTTCAAGGATTGGCTCTAAATGAACACGCTGTTGCAGTCACACTCGTAAGTATTTTTTCACTATTTTTCGATAAATTGGTGTTTTAGGCGGCAGATGCTGTTGAGACGGGGTTATCAATGGTTGAAAGGCGTCTTTGGAAGCAACCAGTGGTCACAAAACAGGTGGATCAAGCGGTTGGTTTGAGATTTGAGTTGTTGTAACGTTAGTGTCTCTTGGTATCAGCTTATAGTTTTTCAGTATAATCGATGCAGAGTGACGATCCAAAATATTCCTGCTAGCCTCACCCAGGCCGAGGCCATTCAGCGATACCTCGGCGATGGCCGCGATTTGATTCATTGGGATGATAGGTGACATCTTCTACCGGTTTTTGATGGATATTTAGCCCGGACTGTGTCTTACTGTTGAAGGATGAAGGCACACAAACGATGGTCGCATACATGCAATCGTCGGCGGCGGCGAAAGAGGTAGGTTCTTTTGCTTGCGATGTTTACCTAATAATGAGAAACTCAGGTTGCAACACGACTTGTCGGTCTTATCGAGAACGATCGCGAGTTGTTGATCAATGTCGAAATTTTACAACGCACATTGCTCGATGGAAACGTGCCGCTCGAAGAGAAGTCTAAGAAGGACCATGTCGCAAAAATCGTGCTAGCGGTGGATCAGGATTTCAAAGTAAGTGCCAATGACCGGCGTGTATTTGTTTTAGGAACCTCCAAAACTATCACCACCACCGCCCGATCCGTGTGCCGACGTCACCTCCCGTCAGGTAGAGTTTTTGTCATAAACATATTGTTGTCGTTCAGGGGGTGTTCCCGATAATTCCTGCAGTTTCCGTGAAAACTGGTGCGTGTCCGGAGCCAAAACCTTCCCAGTCGAAGCCAATAGTTGTGCAGCCAACGCCCAAGCTAAAAGTGGTGAAGCCGAAAACGAAGCCAAAAGTTGTGCAGCCGAAACCTAAAGCGGTTGTACCCAAGAAAAAGGTCAACCCTAATGAAATAAAGAGAAAGGTATTTAGTATGGTATTCGCACATTTGTGTAGGTTCACCGCTCGGTGGTCTGCATTCGGGGTCTGCCAGCTCATTGCGCTTCGCTACTTCCACCGCTAATCGATTCGGCTGGGTTCAAGATTATGGAGGTAAATAACAGGTGAGGCTTTGATGATCAGCCCAACTTTTGAATAAGGCCTAAAATCTTCTCCGTATCAAGAGACTACAAAGGACAGCTGCATGAGCTCGTCTTCGTCTATATGGAATCCGCAGACTCTGCTTTCAAGGTTTTTTGGATCCCTTCCCCCCCCCCCCCCCCTTAAACCCCCCTCCCCCCCCTTTCAAAACCCCAAAGGGGGGTCCCCCCTGGGTGGGGGGGGGGGAAAGGGGGGGGAAAGGGGGGGGGGGGGGGGGGGGGGGGGGGGGGGGGGGGGGGGGGGGGGGGGGGGGTTGGTTTATTTATCGTTTACGTCGTTACCTCCTTTTTAAAACATCGGTTATGCCTTCTTTTGAGCTCATCGCACGATATAACAAGAAATGGGAAGATCCGCTCCCGCCCTATAAGCTCGTCTGGGAAATCGCCGGTATGAACATCTGGTCGCGCCTTGAACCCTAATTCTGTTTATTTATTATTCCTACGTTTCTCAAGTTGCCTGCATTTTGTTCCTTTTTCTTTTTTTTGAGCCGGTGTGGCGACTTATTAGTTTGTCGAAGATAAAGCATTTTCCCGGATTGGGTTTCAGGCATGTAAATAACCAGACCATGTTTTTGTTGTAAAATCTCTTTGTTAGGAAACAATTAATTGTACGCCGTTCATTAATTAGCATACGCCGGAACGGGGATGGCCTATGGACATGGGTGCTAATGCAGTTAGGGGGGCAGTCCGAAATTGGTAATAAGGGGTTACGAGGCGATCCGTTCAAGTTACTTGGTTTTTAGCGTATGCCTAGGCTTAACTTAGTGCTAAGCTTAGCTTGGCTCAAGCTAAGCTCATGCCTCGTTTGTATGAAGCTAGGCCTAGGCTTAGCTTAGCTTTTCCAAAGGCTTCGAGTTTGGAGCGGCATTTGGAGCGTCTTGTAATCAAAATCCGGACTACCCCCCACAAGTGCATTAGCACCCCGACATGCCTTCTTACAAAATTCTGGGGGAATGTCCTTCAGGATCGAGGATTTCTTTTTCGATGTAAATATAGTTTTTAGCTTATTTCTGGGTTTTTGGCTAACGTTTCGCCCATTTCTCGACGGAATCTGAATCAGGATAACTGAATTAATCCGAATCGATCGATTTTGGAAGCAAAACGGGTTAACATCCATTTTACCAGGGTTTTCTTGCCTTACGTAAAAATGCCAGTGAAACTAGTGCGTCGGGTTATCTCGTTCCCCTCAAAATTGTAATTTGGCCGCTTCCGTTGTTTCCACCTGGCAGTTGACGTGCTTTGGTGACATACGTACTAGGGCGGCTTTTGCATCGTTTGCTCACCTTATTTTAGAAATTAGAAATATCTCGTGAAATAAACTTCCGACAGGTTTTCACAACGGATTACGACGACGTATTATTTGAAATTTGCACTTTTTGACCTATGAAACCATAGGTTTTGGATGCGGCACGGTATTTTCTCCTTGTTCTGCGCTATCCGCCGTCAATTCAACTTATTTTCTACTCGTGCTCCTCTTCGTGCGCGTCGAAATACACACGACGAGTCACTAATTTGGGAATTGGCGGTGTGGCGGGCCATCTGGCCACGGCGTTCGTGGAATTGATCGGCCGCTAGGGCCTCTCCGGATGTGTTTGCGGGGGCCTCCAGGGGAAGAAGGGAGAAGAAAGGGAAAGCGTGGGAGAGAGAGAGAGAGAGAAAGAGGGCGAGGCCGGCTGCTCGCCTCATCTCCCACTCACCACCACCACCTTCGCTTCCTGGATTCGGAAATTCGGGACTCACCTTGGTCCGCATCTGAAACGCCAACGTATGGGCCAGGGCCAAAGTGGCTTCGTTGTAGAAGTGGCACGGCCCAAGCGTGGTACCTTCCAGGTATGCCGTTGACTTTATTGCTAAAGTAACTTGCGGTCTAGGCAATCCCACAGAATGAACCGGGCGAAGAAGCTGGCCCTTCACCCCAGGAATGGCGAATCATCGTCAACCCATCAGCAGAATTCTTCGGTTCAGAGCGATTAAAGGTGGTCCCTTGGGGATTTTTTTTAATCCAATGTAATTTGCAATTTTAGGAATTGATCGAAAAACTCCATCGCCCGCATCGTTTGCTCTCGATTGGCGATGCAAAACAGGTTTGTTTTTGCGCGGCCTTTTTTTGATGCCAGAATATCCAGGTACTTCATGCGTTGGCTGCGCTCGATCCGCATGCCGATATGTTACTACCGCTGCTGACACTCGTTTCCAATGCAACGGCCTATACAGCAAACCAGGCCAGTCATTTCAATATAGCCAATCGTGCAATGTGATAATGCACTTACGTCGCGGGGGGGCAGCCCGGATTTTGACTACGAGACGCTCCAAGTGCCGTTTTTCAAACTCGAAACATCTGGAAAGAAATACACGAAGCCGGAGCTAAACTTATCTCTTGCTAAGCCCTGAACGGTCCCATTCTGATCTCGTAAGGCGATTTTAAGCTTAAGGTCAGCGTAGCTTGGGCTTAACCTGAAGCGTAGGCCTAAGCTAAGCAAAGTTAAAGCTAAGTTAAACCTAAGCTTAAGCTAAAAAGCAAGTAGCGGAGCGCCTGGTAACCTCTTACTACCAATTTCGGGCTGCCCCCCTCCTAACGGTTATAGCACCCATTAATTTGTATAATTCCACCACACCAGTTGAAAAAATGATTGAAATCAATTATGGGTTTAGATAGTGCTTCGAGAAGCGACCGTCGTATCAAGAGTTGTCGGCATGTTGCTGTGTGCCGACCGATCGTACCCAAGGCCTGTCCGACTCATGCTTTTGCAATGCATCGCAAACATGGCCGTTGCTACCGAAAACCTGGTAAGTTTTGTTTCACAACGTTACGTAATCCCTGTTCATCCCCCGTATCGTGTCCCATGCATGTAAATGAACATCGGCCTCGAAAAGCTTTTATTCGATGCCCTAGTCTTCATAAAAATGCTTTACGGGCTACACATAAAGAATGAAAAAGAGGCAAGCATTGATGGGGTGACGGGGGGTTCTTCTTCACATGTGGGCATCGACGCTTATTTCGGGGCAAAGTAGGCCGAGGTGCCGCCAGCAGCAGCTCCACCACCACCGACGCCGAAGTAGGCAGATGTTCCGGCCGGCACGCCACCACCTCCGCCACCGCCGCCGCCGCCACCACCCATCGGCTAAAAGGGAGAAATAAAGTGATCAATTTGAGAATCAATTTTACCTTCGCGCCACCGCCACCAACGCCAAAGTAGGCCGACGTGGCACCGCCACCTCCTCCGCCGCCGACGCCGAAGTATGCGGACGTAGCTCCACCACCGCCAGGACCAGTCGGGGCGAATCCTCCTCCTCCCATCGGGGCCGCGGGAGCCGGTAGACCACCACCAGCACCTCCAACAGCTGTCATCGTGGAGGCACCGCCGCCGGCCGGGGGAGCAGGCATGCCGCCCACGGCGGTCATCGTCGATGTTCCGCCAGCTGGGGCTCCAGGCATTCCTCCAACGGCAGTCATCGTCGACGTGCCACCAGCCGGGGCTCCGGGCATTCCGCCGACGGCAGTCATCGTCGAACGGCCAGCACCGCCACCGCCAGGCACTACAAATTTTGAGCGTCCGATAAATTCCGATGAACTCACTTCCTCCAATGGCCGTCATCGTCGAGGCACCGCCTCCGCCACCTCCCATCGGCATTCCACCAACGGCCGTCATGGTCGACGAGCCCATAGCTGGGGCTCCAGGCATGGCACCAACGGCAGTCATCGTTGAGGTACCACCAGCCGGGGCTCCGGGCATCCCTCCGACAGCAGTCATCGTCGAACGGCCGGCGCCGCCACCACCGGGCACTAATAAAGCCGTGGAAAGCTCCGGTTCGAAAACCCACTTCCACCGATGGCCGTCATCGTCGACTGACCGCCTCCGCCGCCCATTGGCATACCGCCGACAGCTGTCATGGTCGACGAGCCCATAGCCGGCGCTCCAGGCATGGCACCGACGGCAGTCATCGTCGACGTGCCTCCAGCAGGGGCTCCGGGCATGCCACCGACGGCAGTCATCGTAGAGCGGCCAGCGCCGCCACCACCAGGCACTAAAGGAATTTTGAGACATTCGAGGCCGCCCTACTTCCACCGATGGCCGTCATCGTCGAGGCACCGCCTCCGCCGCCTCCCATTGGCATTCCACCGACGGCCGTCATGGTCGACGAACCCATAGCTGGGGCAGCAGGCATTCCTCCGACAGCTGTCATCGTAGAGGTACCGCCAGCCGGGGCTCCGGGCATCCCTCCGACGGCCGTCATCGTAGAACGACCAGCGCCGCCACCACCGGGCACTAAAGACAGTGTCTGGGATTCGAGATCATCCTACCTCCTCCGATGGCCGTCATCGTCGAGGTACCGCCACCGCCGCCGCCGCCCATCGGGGCCATTGGGGGAGGAGGAGCAGCAGCTGCACCACCACCACCACCGCCGCCGACCGAGAAGTACGCCGAAGTGGCTCCGCCGCCGCCGGGAGCACCGGCTCCTCCAACGCCGAAGTATGCCGAGGTTCCGGCCGGAACGCTGCCACCTCCACCGCCACCGCCGCCGCCACCCATTGGCTGAAAAATGAGGGCCCTATGCAAATTGGGGAAGGCAGTTGTACCTTGGCACCGCCGCCGCCGACACCGAAGTAGGCCGATGCGGCCCCAGGATTCGAGCCGCCACCAACACCGAAGTACGCCGAGGTCATCCTGACGTGATGTCCGCGATGAAGTCGAGATATTTGGGGACTTTCGGAGCTTAATTTATAGTTGAAAACCTAGGTACATTGCGGGTCATGTCCGGATTCCATGCCTGGCATGTTAATTTCTGGGCTGATAATTTGTACACGCTAAATTTACTCTGCTGACGCTAAATGCACGCTAAGTTAATCTACGGCTAAAACCCATTAAGTCAATCATTTCCAGGGACTCGTCCGGCCGGCAATACCATCGATCGTCCAACGGCTCACCCAAACTAATAACGAAACGGAATCGATTGTCGCGCTGCAGGTGAGGCCATAAGGGGGGACCAGACGACACAGCCAGGGAAAGGTTTTTAGGTACACGCAGGAGCCGAGAGGGGCAAAAAGACGAGTTAAAATATCCCTTGGCGAGGGCCGGCCAAAAAAGGAGGGGCTGTGGCCCAGGCGGTGGGCCCTAAATGGCTAAAAGTACCACATTTAGGCTCTGACCAACCTCTCACTGCAGATATCGAAGGAACAGATCGAACAGTTCGAACCGGCGATTCATATCTGCTTGCAGAGGTCGTTTTCCCGCCTCGAGCTTAAAATTTAATCGGTTTAGGCTGTGGGTGAGGGGAGAAGTGAATGTACACGCGCTTCGGTTGCTGCTGAACATCAGCTGCTGCCCGGATATGGTGCCCCATGTCTTGGCCGCGAAGCCGGTGAATGGACTCCTCTGCATCCTCGACACAGACAAAGACGAGGTAAGAAAATTGTCGTCTTGAAAGGTTAGTTGGGCACGAAAAGTAATTATAAAATAAAAGTACCTAAAAACGACGAATTCAGATCCTGGTTCGAGCGGTCACCTGGCTGTTGTGCACGACGACAGCCGTCGAGGCGTTGGGGATCAGCATCAATGCTCTGACGCCCCTCATCAAAGATCCATTCCACAACCCACATCACACGCTCTTCTACTGTATTTACGGGCCAAAGGTTAGTTACGCAATAAACAAAAAGAAAAGAAAAAATGCTAGGCGAGGGAAGAATTGACAAAACGTTGTATCGAGATGTACAACCACCCCAACAAGGAGATTGGCATCAAATGTCGCCGGTTGATAGAAACACTAAAAGCGGTGAGTTAATTGGGTTATCGCGAATTTCACTTCACAGGTCCCGCCGTTCCCAACCCCGATTGCCCAGCTCGACCGGCTTTAGATCAACAGCATCTTCTTTCACTTATTTGTTCTTTTCTCGGGAAGATTTGGGCCCGCTTAGATTATAGCCATATGAATATAGCCCGTGACCTTTTTTGTGCATCTGCCCCCTCACCAATTTGCCTTCAAATGCGATCCCTTTCATTGTCCCTAGAGTCGATTTATTCTAGAAAAACTGGTAATAAAAGAATGAGATCAATAATTGGAAAAAAGCTAAAAGAACGCAATGGAGAGTATTGAACACACGCTTGGCAAGGAATGCTAGTAGATTGGTTGTGAGCGATTGAATGGTTTCGCAGCGATTTCGGTCAGTGAAGGGCACTGTGAGGGATTTCTGTAATGATCCTCGAGATGTGCCATCCCAGCGCCATGCCAGATTATCATCGCAGCCAATATGAGCAGATGCCACCATTGGTGCGAGCTTCCCCAAACGTCAAATTTTCCTGGAATTGTCAAAAGGCATTCTTGCAGTGGTATATCGGTTACCTGGTGCCAATCTTTCTGGGATCAGTGTCGCGTAGAAGAAAAACGCACCCCCGGTCAGTGCATAGACGATGGCCATATTTGGCAACCATTGCTGCAAAGCGATTGAATTATTATGATGAAGCTCACGTGTACATAGGCGCTCGACAATCCGCCGTGCATTGAGATCCAATGCATGGTTGGCAGGAAACCGGCCAAAACAAGCGCCGTGTAGAATAGATGCAGAGGCCCTACACGCGTCCCCTAAAAAGCTTTAACTTTTCAATGCATTTTTCCAGTTTTTGTTATTTAACTCTTCTTTCGCTTTCGCACCCACCTCCTTAACCAATTTTTCGCGTTTAGATGGAAGATAGCCGGCGATGCACAGTAGAACAGCTAAGAAATATAAATACGATTGCAGGGCTTCCTGAAATTGAATGCAATGGTAGTGGTCGTAATATGGCTTACACATACCCGGAAACAGAAAAAAGCCGTGTAGAGACCCGACAGGTACATCCCCAAAAGGCCTGCCGAGATTCCGAAGACGTCCAGGTTCAAGAACTTCCTGCGTTTCTTAGTCGACGAGCAACCAAACGTGTGGAAAAGCGCAGAAAACAGCATACATACCTTAAAGCGCTGCGCATTAGACTTTTCACTAATCCCGTAAAGCTTTCTCGTAGAGCTTTCTTTTAAAAATTATCTCGGTTCTTACTTGTGATGCCAATAGTGACATAGTGAATACGAAGTGATCAGTGCCGGAAGCCCCCATCAAAGGCAACCTTCGGAAATTCGCGTCAAACTAGATGAGAAAAAACTGCAAGCGGAAATAGAACTACCTGACAGTAGGAGAAGTAGAGGAAGCCTGCCAAATGAGACCAAATGTTGATTGTTTCATTCGTGATATGGAGTGCACTAAAATGTCATGTGGAAATAGGCTCGTACCCTTACCTTTTCATACAAAGAGTTGCCGGCAACTTGGGAGGACGATAATGAGTGTGGACATGTTCATTTAACCATAAATATCTAGAAATATAGAAATAGAAAAGTGTTTAAGTTAGTTAAGAAGATAGAATAGCGCTAAGGGCGCATCAACAAAAAATAAGAAATGTACCTGGTAAGCCGGTCCTTATGGACAAGCTTGTAGGTGCCATGTTTGGCACAATGAAGTGCATTTCGGCATTTGACGCATGCGCCCATCTGTAAAATTCAGGGTGTACCAGGGATTAAAGCAATCGAAGCAGTTCAAACGAATATAGGTCAATCGGATTCAGTGATTCGCCCCAGACATTGAGGGCCTGGCAGGGTAAATACGCCAAAGATAGGCGGTGATCTGAAGGAAATAAGTTCCACTAGCCTATCCCACCAAGCCTGGCAGCTCTCATTAGATAGCGGATTTTTTGGGATCCGGTTCCTGAGCCTCCTCTTCCCAGGCCGAAGCATTACGCTCACCCTCACTAGATAAAATGATCGATGATTCAACTGAAAGAGTGCACTAGCCGAAACAATAGGTTGCCTTCACCGAGAACAACCGACTAGGTCAAAGAGACAAAAATGTGTTGCGCTGCGGAACCTTATAGATCCCCCTAGGGATGTCTAGTGGGCGCTCAGAGTCAGCCCCGGTCATCCCTTCAGCTCCAGAACCTGTTTCGAGGCCGTTTTGGCAGCCCAGCAGTCCTCCCTCCGGACAGCCGCTCAGGCAAGGTGGCATCCCGAACTTCTACCAAAAGATAAAACCCCTAGAATCCAATGTCGCTGGTCACCGACAATAAAGCTTGGCGAAAAATAAAATTTATAATTCTCTGGTGCTAACAAAAAGAAGTCCAACCATGCACAAGATAAAACAAAAGGGGTGCTCCTTGTGGGAGCCGCAACAAAGATAAATCCAAAATGGATCAAATTATAGCGGAATCAACAAGGGTCCGAATACGAATGAGGGATTTGTCCTCGCGAAGTCGCTCGCAATCTGCTAATGCTGGCCCGTATGCTGCTTGTCCTTTTTCAGCGATTTGTTCCCGACGAAGTGCCGCAACGGCATAGTTTTCTTCTTCGCCTGAATTAGACATTACGAGCGAATAAAATAAACGTACCCAATCACCAACAACATCACCGAAAGGCACGGCTTGACGACGGGTTCGCGAGCTACGACGCACCCCACTAGCGTCTCCGATATCGGGCTGATAGAACACGATATGGCCGCAAATAGATGATAGTTATACCGATTGAGAAGCGAAGCTGGTCGACGGTTGTGTGCTTGGTTGCTCCATCTGCGGCAATTTAGATGTGCTGCGCTCAGATTCGCTTTCCTCAATCACAGTCTCGAATTTCGACTGATGGCGTTGTGCAGATCGTGATGGCTTGGAAGGCGAAACGCCTAAGAAAAACATAGGATAAAAGAGCCTCTAAGAAATCACCTTTTCTGAAGGGAGAGCGCGAGCCATCGCTGGAACTGAAGAAAAGTCCCGTAGACGATGTAGTCAGTGGTGATGGAGAGTGGGAGAAGACCGATGCGTAACCCGAAGAGTTAGACTCGATGGAGAACGGAGAGCCCGATTTGCTGAAGTAGGAGCGGAAAAGCGCGAATGGTGACGTAGGTGACCTAATAAATTTCGGAATAATGTGACAAAACTCTTCTCACCTCCTAGAGCTTTCGTCCGAAGGCATCGTATCATCAGCCGGTAGGTCTAGCTTATAAGAGCCATTGTGACTACCGTAAGCTGAACTTCCGGAGGATGCATCGGACTAAATAATAAAAAAGAGTCATTGGATAAAGTCTTGCACAAACGTCATGTCTAGGCCGGAACCGAGGATTTGTGGCGATTATTGGGCGACGACCAATAGAGTTTTTACGCGTTGGCGAATTTGGTGGAGAAGACCCTGAAAAAACTATAAAAGCAATCATGGCAAAACTACTTTTGAAAGTCATTTTTTGGATAGGCCGAGTGCCCATGCGAGGAAGCTTCCGGGCAGCAAGGTGCGAGATCAGCGATGCGTTTCCAGGAGAGCGAGAGCGCCGGCGTTTCTAGAGCAGATATAGTATCAGCAGCGAAACCTGATGATACCTTTCCTTTGCTGGAGGTTCTGCGAAAGGGAGCCATTGCCCCTAGCAGCACGTCGCCGTCCGTTGAAATCGTCTCGAGACCCTCGTCATCGCCAAAGTGTTCATTTTCGTCGGCAACCATGGCCAGGATCTAAGCAAAATGAGTAAACCCAACCACTTGACCCTCACCTTTTCCTCATCGTTCAACGAGGGGTTGGGGATGTTCTAAAACAAAACAACAATTATGTGGTCATCAAAAAAGCGCACCTTTACACCAGGGGTCTGGGTATTTGTGTCCGTGTTGACATTGTCGACATCCATGGCTTCAGTTTCATCAGTGTGAGTCGCCGAGTCATGGGTCATTAGCGGCTCACCGAAGCTGCTGCGCATCCGACCGTTCTTATGGTCACGGATCCAGCGCAACGGGTTCAAATATGGAAACACCATCCCTGAAAATCAACTAGATAACCTCAAAGAAAAAAAAAGCTGTCGAACTTTTGTGGGAAAACAACGTGGAGATTTCGATAAAAATCGAGAGCCTTTCCAGGATCGATCGGCATCCTCCAACGATCGTACGTATTCCATGCGGGACCCCTGTAAATACGCAGTGTTACGGAATTTTTCTAGCGTTTTGGTTTTTAGTAGAAGCTCGAAAATTTTACTGCTCTAGCGATAGCCTTTGTGTTCCTTTATTATTTTTTCTTTTCATATGACTGAAGAATCAAAAAGATTAATTTTCGATTCATTTTTAAGACTTTCTGTTATCAATAAACCTGTTCTCTTCCTCTTTCTGACGTTTATCCGTACATTTTTTTTCAGCAATTACTTCCATCCAAGAATTCCAGTCCGTTGCCGTTTGTGTTATGTCCGCATCCATCTAAGCAATAGAAGACCTGATTGTTATGGTGCGGATGGGCCTATTGAGTGGAGGTACAGTTTTTCGCTAACGGGAATTTCAGTAGGGAGCTGGCCAGGTTTAGGCGTTAGTTAATCTCTGTATTAGGTACGGGATCGCTTTGTTAGAACAGTAATCACGTTCCTGTTTCGAAAGGGCTCCGACGGGCACGCTTGAATTGCACGTAGTTTTTTGTGTGATGTTTTGATTTCTCGATGGCGATCCCCCTCATTTTATTTCACGCAAATATTTATGTTTTTGGATGCCATTGCCCCTCCCTCTTTTTATGGGCTTTCTCATCACGGAACTGATTTCCCTTCACTCGAGGATGCCCTAAAGGCACCCGCGCTCCCTTGTGGTTGACTGGGCGGGAAGGCACATCGTTCAAAAGGCTAACCCATTCCACTGTCGTTCGAATTCGTGTTTATCCAACACAACCCAACTTTTCAGTAAGAATGGGTACCCATAGTTATCCCGTGGCCAAGCGACACCCCAACAGCGTTTTGGAAGGTTTTTATGCTCTGCATGATGAACTCGGTTGCGGAGGCTTCGGAAAGGTTTGGATTCATCTATCCTTGTACTATTCTTTCAGGTCCGTTTGGCTACTCACCTCGCGACGCAGCAAAAAGTGGCGATTAAAATAATTGACAAGAAAGCTATCGGGGTAAGCTTACGTTGCCTTTATTCAAACCATCCAGGACGACTTGCCACGCGTGCGTACTGAACTGGAGGCCCTCAAGACGCTCTGCCATCAAAATATCTGCCGTCTATATCATTCCATCGAAACGGATGACAAGTTTTTCATTGTGATGGAGGTTTGTGTCAACACCTTGCTGAGGTTTTTTTTAGTATTGCGCTGGCGGGGAGATGTTCGACTATATTGTAAAAAAGGTTGGTTGGGTCTTCGATCGACATATTTGCTTTAGGAACGACTAGAAGAAAGCGAGGCCCGACATTTCTTCCGTCAGCTGGTCCAAGGAATGGCTTATATTCATTCTCAAGGATTTGCGCATCGTGATCTAAAGCCGGTATTTTTAATGGACTGGCATTCTTTATTCTTTTAGGAAAATCTGCTCCTTACCGAAGACTTGCATCTGAAAGTAATAGATTTTGGACTGTGCGCACGTCCCGGCTCGATGAACAAGTATACATTACGTTGATAACCTAATACTGTTTCCAGGATGCTTGAAACTTGCTGTGGCTCACCGGCTTATGCGGCCCCAGAACTCGTCCTGGTAATCCGTTTTGGTATCAGCTGATTTAGGTTTTCAGGGACAACCGTATATGGGAAATGAAGCGGATGTCTGGTCAATGGGAGTACTCTTATATGCCCTTCTTTGTGGAAGACTACCGTTTGAGGACGACAATGTGCAAGTTTTGTACAGAAGAGTTGCGGTGTGTTAACCCCATATTTTCTGGATTTTTCTTTAGAAAGGTGCCTACGAAGAGCCCGACTTCCTGAGTAAGGGTAGCAAAGAAATACTTCGCGAGATGTTGCAAACCGACCCCAGCAAGCGAATCACGATTCCTAATCTATTGATTCATCCCTGGATGAACCGAAATTTCACGAATCCAATCAAGTGGAAATCTATTTATAACGTACGTGATCTTGCACGAATTTCATTTACGATTTACAGTGGGAGGTTATTGATACGGAAGTTGCTGCTGAAATGGCCTTTTACTATAAGAAGAAGCCAGACCAGATGATCGAATTGATAAAGGTATTTTTCCGTCAATTTTATGAGCATTTTGATAGGAATGGAAATTCGACTATATGACGGCAACTTACTTCATATTGCTTCGACTAAAGACTCGTCGCCAAACGTTTGCTATGCCACCTCCACCACGAATCAAGGTGAGTACCTTTCTTAGGCATCAATAACGGAATTACGCAAGGTAAGCGCCAAAAAACATAAATATAGAAAAACAAAATATTTAGGGAGACTTCCCGAATATTATTACATCCCCAACCATCCATGCTTCTCTGGAGCACTGCCTCGACAAGTCAGGGATCGAGGTAAGTACAAAGAAAAAAACAACGCAAAGAAACACATTCAGCTAACCCCTGTTTAGCAACATGTGAGTAATGAAAGAAACATAATAAGCTACCGTATTTTTAGTTGTGTAACTAATTGCGTTTGTTTAGGAGCAGCTGGCCGGCATGTCGATTAGGGATAGTGCTTCTGATGATAGCAATGGATATTCGCGCTTTGTCAAACCTTTGGCGCCTCTGAATCACGTAGGTTTTCGGGTTGTTCATAATTGTGTATTTTTTTCAGAAGGAATCGTACGCCAATGCTATGATGAGTATGGACGCGATGATCGGCGAAAACGGCAAGCCAGAACCATCCAGCACCCCAAGACCAAGAATTGTGCCTCGGGTTGGCTACCTTTCATAGCCTGACAACATTCACGTTTTCAGACTTCAGCACAGCACTCTGGCAACAAAGAGAATTGCAATTCGACGGAGCAGCCTCGCAAGCCAAGGACCGGTCAAAGAGTCAGTTCTTGCTTTTTTACATTACTGTATCCACCACAGGCTTGTCGCGCCTCTTCTCTCCGCGTCCGTGGCCCGGCCACCAAGGAAAAGGAGAATACGAGTGGTGGTACGCTGGCAGCTCAATATCGTCAGGTCTACGCGACACCTCAGCGTAACTCTCAAGATACGCCCACCTCAACACCTCGGTAAAGAAATAAAACTTTCGCTAATTATTTTCAGGGCCCATTCGACCGATCGGGGGGCTACTGGATCTCCCGTGTCAACCGGGGGCTCATACAATGATGGCCGTACGCCCCGTTCAACCACAAAATCTCGTGCTTTGCGAACGGTACATCAGAGTATTTTCTTTTAATGCTATTTTAGCGCGTCTTTGCTTCGTTGGAGCGTAAGGCCGATCGTGTTTTTAACATGCTGACGCCGAAGAAATCAAAGAACGACTCTCCGCAGATTCTGAAGAATACTAAGGTGATTACCATGACCGTGATTAACACATTTTTTAGGGATTGGTGAATGTCTCCATTACCTCCTCGAAAGAGCCCAATCGCGTTCGCAACGAGCTCGAAAAGATCTTTGAGCAGCAGGGAATGAAGTACGAGCTCAAAGGGTACATTCTAGTGCATTATTCAATTTACGTTATTCTGAAGGTGGAAAATCTCCGGCAGCAAGCAAACGGGTACGCAAAAGATGACTGTCGAGCTCGAGGTTGTGATCGTCGAATCTCTCGGATACGTGGGCATCAAGCGCAAACGCTTGAATGGCGACGCTTTCCTCTACAAACGGGTTTGTCCTCTTTCTATATTCGGTTTATTTCGTTCTAGGTGTGCGAGCAGGTCCTGCAAATGGCTGGTCTCTAGGATGGAAACGACTGTTATTTGGGTGAAATTGGTTTTTCTGTGCCTCTCTGTATGCTTTTTTTTCTTATGGCCTTCGTACATTTTCTGTGCCCCCTCCAAATGCAAATCTAGCGCCCACTTTGGCTTTTAGAACCTTTAAATTCTTTCTTTGTTGAAGGATTTTGATCCCGCCGGTAAAATTTGTGCTGCACCGCCGTCCCGCCCCCCTTCCTTTTTGAATATTGCCTGACGGCTTTTACGATTCATATGTTTACGAGTAGTGAAATATATTCAAGTTTTATTGTATTAGCGACACTGAATTATGGAAGGTTCAGCGGAGATTTCAAATGACGACTTGGCGGATATACAGATAGTTCAACCAAAACCTAGGGCCTTCTCGCGCGCGCCGGCCTAGGAACCAGGTCAGACATCTAATTGGGGTGAAACCTTCATCCGATTCTTTCGGGGGAAATCCGACCTTGCCCCTGAAGCTTATCGCTTAGGGATAGTGCGCTGACCGCACGGGAGAATGGTTGACCTCGGGAAGACGCGTCACAACGGGGATGCATGCCTGTGATTGGCGAATTCCGGACGAGCTGCGAGCCCGGAGAGTGCAAAGTCAATGCGAGTAAAGAGGGAGAAAGTAAGGGGGGACAGTGTATGTGAAGAGATTCGTGAGTTGTTTGGGATGTCGGCAACCAGGTGCCTGGCCTACCACTGAGCTTTCAAGGAACGATCAATTGGAAAAAGGGTAGCAAAAGTAATGGCAGCTTTAGACAAGATGGACGCCGAAATTAGCCGCATAGACCTTGTTCCATTTCAGTTGAGAGGGGATCGTCCTGGTGTGGAAGCGGTAGACGGGTCGGCTAGTAGATGGCTCCGTTTGCCACACGCCACAACGCGTGAAGAACGTAACTTTCGACAGCTTTTTCACAGCAATATAGTGCTTGATGAGGGCATGGGCAAGCTCGATTGTCTCGGCATAGAGGGCCACGATGCGGTCGCCCTTCGCTGCCAAGAGGCCATCAACGGAAGCAGAGGTCCTGCAATTATGGTTTGTTGATGGCTGTTTTTTCAGGGAGTGCTCACTTGATGAGGTAGATCTCTGAATGCTTGGCGAGGGCGGCAATAAGGCTGGCCCTCTTTGTGCCACATACGGACTCGTCAAAGTCGATGACGGCTTCCAGATCGCTGGCCGCGTATTTGGTAACCGGGGTATCTGTAAGAAAATTTGCGAGCTTGATTTAACGGTGGCGAAACGGATCTAGGATGGTTTTACGCTTGTATGGTTTGGTATTACTTACCAGCTGGCATCAGCTCCTTCAGAAGGGCTTTTGTGTCGAATGTGGCCAATTCATAGCGGTCGCGGTCCGAGACGACAAAACCAGCCTCGTCTCTCCAAGAGGAGAGTCGCTAAACTATCGCATTTACCATGATTCGTTTTGAAAAGAAAACCTCGATATAAAACCTGAAGGCTAGTTGTATTAAACCCACCTCAAAACTATCCATAGTCACATTCTTCTTCAGTTCCAGGTTGAAACGGCCGAGCACAGCTTCGAAGCTACGGTCTGAGATGTGACTTTCGGCCGAACGTTGCTGAATAAGGAAAGGCAAGATAAGTATTCAATTAAGCATACCTTTAGAGGATGATGGAACTGAACGAAGACGGGCAGCAAGCTCTTATTGACCTTCGTCTCCTGAAGCATACAAATCGATCGAACCCCGAAAGAATACCGCGATTCTGTCAAGCTTCAGCTGGAGCGGATTCTCCTTGTCAGTGTCGACGGTGATTTCCTTATTTTCGAGAGCTCCATCGAAGGTGGACAGCTAAAATGGAGTAGATGGGGAGGATGGTGCATCACTCACCACGCAGTACGCCTGATTTTGTGAGTATTTGATGAGCGTCTGCTGGACGAGTGATTTTCCTGAAATTTCTTGTAAGAGAAGTCATGGTTGAGGTAGGGGTGAGGGTGGAAAGGGGCTCACCATCCTTGGAGTCAATGCGGGCGGTGGTGGCCTCGGGAAGGGCGGCGGCGGGGAGGAACGCCGATTTCGAGATGGACACACAGCCCGACGACATCTGCCAAGGATCAAGGATTTTGTAGAGGTTTGCGTTTTAATTTAAGAAGAGAAGTGGTATTTTAAAAAATATGGGGAGGCGTCTGAAGGGTAGAATGTAAATTTGAGCAGGTAAAAAATGGTCTTCCGGTAGGAGAAGACGGCATCATGATCAACGCCGCTCGATCGGATGTTTACTGCCTGAAAACTAGCCAAACCCCGGGGATAGGGATGGCCAAAAAGCTATAACCGGTTGTCAGGCGTGACTGTTATTGTGAGCCGAGAAAGGGGGGAGATAGACAGATTGGGGGATGGGCTTTTGCCTGCGTTCCGGGACACACTGGCGGACAATGGGACGACGGTCGGGATACCCGGAGGAGGAGCAGCAGCAGCGCTGGATTGCTGATATGATGGTGGCAATCCCGAGAGGGGGAAGGGATGCAACTCCACCCACCACAATCTCTCTCTCTCTCTCTCTCTCTCTCTCTCTCTCTCTCGGCTTCATCCTGTAAAAGGGACCGGGGGTCGGCCTTGAAGAGATCTCAACATTGCCGGCCGCGCTTCCAGAAGGATTTTAGGTTGAACGGACTGGGGGCGCGGAGTCTATTCGAGCCGATTGCCGAAATTAGGGCAGTCGCCGCGACGAAGTTGTACTCTGCACGGTCTTTCCTACCTTATATAATTTTGGGGTACTCTGTGTGTGTGTCCGGCGCCAGGGGGGCTACTTTGCATAATTCCATACAATTTCCTCATTCTTGCAGTTGACGGCGGGTGTGGTCGGAGGAGGGAAGGGCCGAGGCGCTATCGGAAGTCAAATTTCTCGATATAAGAAATTATTGAGGGTAACGGGGAAGTTCACCAACTTTCTTGAACTGGAATACGCAATGAAACACTGCGACCCCCGCAGGTAATCTCATTTTTAAACTGTTTGGGGGTATTTTTGAGACGACGGGCACGTTAACTCGATCAGTGATTCGGAGAAGGGGAGAGCGCCAATGTTTTTGCGGTTGAATGTAGATGGGAAATGAGGGGGAAAACGGAATGGAAAGGCAGTGCTGGTGGGTGGGGGGTGAAGCGCGAACTTGGTCACCACAGAACTTGGTGTCCTCATTTTGTCAGATGAAAGTGTGAAAGTCTAGGTATCAGCATCGTCGATTTGGAAAAGGTTCTTTACGTTTTAGCAATAACAAGGTTTGGTGCTTATATTGTGGAGTAAACTTCTTTCATTTCTAACGAAGCTGTAAGCTGTGTTTTTAACATTTCCAAACATAAAAATCCATTAAAAAATGCAAAAAAGTAGATTTTCAGGTCAAGTTCAGATTAGAAAAAATATCGTGAGACTTTAAATAGTTTTTTCTATTAAAAATGGCGAAATTTTACTAAGAACATGATTAAACTAATGACTTCTACGTTACGTTACATTTCTGGACTAGTAGGAAAAATTCGGCCACTCCCCCCCACGAAAAAGCCCTGAATTCACCCATCCCGAGGCAGGTCACGTCAATACATCATACAGTAGCCGACGACTAGAAGGTACTGTAATTGGGTATTCGGTGGGAAAGAGATGTGGAATGGACTGTGTGTGTGACAAGACGTGTTCTCTGATTGCGTTGTGAGGCCGAGAACTGGTTGCCGCCCTTCAACGCCTCCTCTGCCATGTGTTGTCGAATAATATTCCGCTCGGATCCCCTCCCCTGGCTGCTGTTGGATGGAGGTAACAGCTTGGTAAAGTAGACATTTTACATATTACAAATTTTTAGAAAATCACACATATTAAGAAGAGGTCCTCTAGCGATCCGGAGAAGCGCCCGATTTTTATGATTTAGGTATCAATCGAAAGCTCTCGAAAGGGCGAGGATCGCGTTGCGAAATCCGGACGTTATTTGCTCTATTTTTCGCGCGCTCCCGGTAAATCCCGACATTTCGTACATATCTCCTCGCCGTTCTGAGAGCTTACGTAAATCGCAAAAACCGGACACCTCCGTCTATTGGCAAAGCTACCACATGTTTTTCACCGCGGTTCCATAAGTCCAGTTTTAGTCATTCAGAAGGGCGCCTCCGACAGCCACGAGAAAATGAGTTAATTCCCAAAATGTCATTAGTCACATTATCAGGGAAAGGGTGAGAATCGTGACGTTCCTGCTCTCCATTAAGGAAATGGTGGGAAATGGTGTCACCACATCCGGTTATTCGCCCTCTCTTCCCATCCATTCTTCCTCGACATCGAGAGTCGTCTTTCCCTATTCACCTGTTTTGCTTATCAATCGAGATTTCGGGTGTGAGCGGGGGGAGGTTTCATGGCTTTCCAGGCAAGGCAAATTAGCGCTGCTAGAAACGAAGAAAATGGGCCCTGTAAAACGGCTACAAATTGGAAACATGTCTTGGATTAAACTGGAAAATCCTACGTAAAAAAGCTATTTTTTCCAATAGAAACAATTCCAGACTATTCCCGTTCCTCCTAATAAGTTTCTATTTTAGCCTTTCCGCCCTCACCCCATGTTTTTTCTCATTTTTTTATCCTAGCAGGTGTTTCCGTTTCGGTGATTGCAGAAAAGTGTTCGTTCATCCGCCATATAGATACAACGCCCCGGAAAAGATCACGTTCCAAGTTTGTCCCCCGCGAAAACGAGGAAATATCAGTGTGCGGGGGCCCAAAACATATTTCCAGCCTATTTCCGGGCAACTTCTCAAAATCCCCTTCTCTCTGCGCCTGTCAGCCAATTTCCGCGACACGACTCCGCACAAATTTGGATCGTAGGCCGGGCAGACGGGCAGCGCCGGGATTTATATTAGCTGGGGAGGGGAATTGGCTAATGGAATTGGTATTTTTAAATTAAAATAGCCCCAGGGAATACAGAAAGAGCGTTGCAATTTGGGAAAATGGCTGATGATGGCTGCGGGGGAATTGTTAAGCGATATCTGATCGCGTCTAGTTAGAGTAGTTTGTGCTTTGGAGCCCCGGGGGAATACAGAGAACTGAAGTTTTAACATTTCTGTGCAGTGCCGTTTTTAAGGTAGAAGCCACTGCCCCTGCCTTCTAAGTTGCTTTATTTCAAAACAGTAAAATGAAAGCGCCTGCTCTTCAGCTCACCATAAACCCGCAAAACTTTATTGTTTGTGTGAAACTGATTAGGGGAAGAGTTTTTCGTCTTTCTCGTTGGCGTTAGATGACAGATTGGTCCACATGACCGCCCGAAATAAATTGGGGTGGGAAGCGCGCTTATTGGCCAAAATGGCACGTTGCTTCGGTGTGTGCCCGGAGAGACCCGAGGCAATTTATATTCACTCAAAAAAGGATTAAAAAAACAATTCGAATAGAATTAAGTAGTTGAGTCTCGTTTTGTCGTGCTCGATTGTGCGGCGACACTGAGGGTGCGCAGCTTGCTTCGATCGGTCGGAGAGCCGAAAATGACCCTACGCACCTGAAATTTGCGGGCTTGAGCATAAATCACGGGGAAAATTGACGGTATGAAGTTGTGGCTACCTCACGATTCCGCCAGAGATAGATGACCCCATTGGCACCACAGTTGAAAATGAGAAAATAGGCGCCACACGAGTACCACTCCAAGTTATCGCCAAAAATCATGCCGTTAACCCGCGTCGACACCCAATTGAACACGTAGAACAGTGAAATGGCGCAGAACTGGAGAGCGTAGCTGGAAATAAGCTTCTTGAGTACTTTTCCAGATTATTGTTATTTAAATTGTTTGCACCTATCCACGAGCATTAAAAAAAATGCTTATTTTAGATTGATTTTAGTTTCAACCTAAATAGCTAAAATTTTGCCTTTTCAGACATGTTTTAACTTTTTAAGTTTGTCTGCTACAAAAAAGCTATTTTTCTAAAAAAAACACGATCAAAAAGACCTTAGATTTACCTATTAGGCCATCGTGGAGTCATGAGAAAAAACCCCTCCACCCGCGAATAATTAAGAAAGTCAAGAACCGAAATTGTTACTCCCGATGCAAATAAGCATAAAATCGCGATCAGAATCCAAAAAGCGGATACCGCGGCTATCAGAATCCGTTTCCGACGGTATAAAAGAAAATCGCGCCCGGCATGCCCCACCAAACGTCTTCAACCTCGAACGCGATGGCCCTGAACATCGAACCCCCGACGGCTTCGTTCCCGGCGGCTGGCGGCAATGCGAAGCACAACATTGTGTCGCTGAGCGACGGTCGTCTCGCCTTCAAGGTGAAATCATCGAACAATGACCACTACCGCGTGCGCCCCGTCTACGGCTTCATCGCGTCGAAGCAGTCGGCCGAGCTGGAGATTGTGCGCAAGGAGGGACCGCCGAAAGAAGACAAATTCGTCATCCAGTGGGCCGAGGTGAGGAGTAATTCTTGCAAAATTAGAATTTCGGAAATTTGCATTGATTTTTATGACGTACGGAAAAGTACGTACTGCTCAAAATGGCTCTTGCCGTAGTTGGAATTTTTACGTAGTCATCTTGATTTGTTTACAGGTGCCCGACGAGGAGACTGACCCTCAGGCCCCGTTCAAGGCTGGGGCCCAGGCGGGCGAGGTGATCCTGCCGGTGAAGGCCGAATGAGAGCGCCCCATCCATTTACCGCCCCCCATCCGCCGATCATCACTTCCACCCCCGAGACTCCCGGCCACCGTTCAGCTAACACATTTCTTTCACCTGTCTCAACCCGCAATGGAAACGCTTAGAATAAAGATATTTTGCTGGGTGTGTACTGTGATGTTTGGTAAATCCTACGTGTACTCCTTGGCGCCCTTGAGCTGTCCGTTCTTTGAACCGTGTCGTTGGCGCATGTAGATGAGCTTGAGGATAATCTGAAGAGACAGGCAAAGCCATTATCATCCGAATATCCCACAAACCATCGTGTAGCAACCCAAAGTGATCGCCGACACAGCGTTGTTCAGCGGAAAATCAAAATACGAGTTGCTCGTGTTCGTCAAGTTGCCGATTTCCACGTAGCCATAGCCATAATTGAATGGATGCATCACCATTCTAAACAAGATATGCCTCCTAACAGAAATTAAAAGCATACTGGCAACACGGGAACACAAATTGCGCGACGACTGACATGGCCCAAGATACGCTGTAGATGGCCACCATCGCATAGGCGGCCACCCAAAACGACAGGTTCGACCAGTTCAACACGATGACACTGAATCTACAAAGAGTTCGTAGCAGCGATTTTTCATTCCCGATGTGTACCTAGTCAAGGCGATAAAAGCCAGCGTAAACGAGGTGACGTACCACCCGGCGAGTAAGCCCCAATTCATTATGGATGGAAAGAGGCCGGCCGGGCCATCCTCCGAGAGAAAACTCTGAAATCAAGTCCCCTAACCAGTCGCACAAAAGCCATTATTTTTATTTACAGCTCAAGCCTGTGTAAAAAAACCACCTGCTTTCTGTCAAACGCCAAAGGTTAAAAGTGGCTGTTTTCAAAGGGGGCTATATACCTGAAGAAAGGAGGCCGGGACCAGATAGATCAAATGGCACAGCAATAAAAACTGATCATTCAGAAGGTTGCCGAACGAGAGTGCATATGTGGAATTCTGTTTCCACAGCCTGGCACTCACTAAAAGCAATTTTGAGGAAAAGCGGGGACCCACCTATCGCCCGAGCCACAATCAGATTTACACAGAATTCGAAAACGCAGAGCAGTGTGAGGATAATTGCGAATATCAAGGAATACGCGACCATACTAGGTTTTTATAAAACCCAGCGCTATCAAAACTTGACCACAGCTCCGTTTTTGGGTCCCACTCTTGGCGAAAAAGCTCCGCTCAAACCCCGCCGCCGTGTCGGTCCACGGTATTCAAGCCCCGCCCCCAGGCTCGCCGCGAGCTGTAAACCCACCCCTCGCATATTTTTGCCGTAGCACCAGCCTCGATAAAACACGTTTATTAAGCAGTTATAACACAAGGAATATGCAATACCACAAGATGAGACCATTTCACTTTTTGATACACAACACGTAATTCGACGAACATTGCAACATGATAGCTTTTCATAGTAAATAAATACGTTATTCGGAGTCGTGGTCCGATTCCACGACAGCGCGCTGCTTGCTCTTGCGACGTCCCTAAAACGTATTAGAAAAAATTGGAGAGGGTACCTCTTTGGCTGGAGTAGAGCTGCCAACGGACATACGGCTGTTGTCATCATCCATCTAGAAAAGATTAATGAATTAAAATGGAAGGTTGGTAAATGTCTGATCTAGAAAAGAGCTATAAAGGCCTACCCTTGAACCTTCGTGGCTTGATGGCTCGACTCCGGCCGTATTTTCGTCCCTCTCGGACTTGGGAACAGTGTTCGTTAGCCGCTTCCAGACGGCCTCTAGTAGGATAGCACTGGTGTACACGTCGCTATCCTCCACATTGTACTTCTACATTTCGTTGTCGATTCTCGAGCAATGATTTACCTTGGCATTTTCCACCAGCAGGAAGACATCATCGGCCATTTCTTCGATAGAGGCATAACGCCCAACATCGATATTCTTCCGGATCCGGCTGAACGCCATCGGATGGTCGATTACCTGCAAAAATACTTAACTAATTACAGGAATAATCTGAATTATTAGATACGATAGGAAACTCTGCACACCTCATAATAATCGGGGTAATCACGCTTCGCCGGCAGCTCCAGGAAATACTCAGAGAGCAGAGTTCCATCACTGGTCTTGTATTCTGTCGCCGCAGCATATGCCTGAACGCTGTGTTTTCGCCAAATTGTGCGTACAACCTTGTTCAGAAGATTCAGCACTTCAGCAGAAGGCTTGCGCCTCTTCTTTCCATCATCTGCCTCGTCGTCCTGCTCCTCGTCGCGCTTCCTCTTCCCACGACCCCTCTTCTTCGGCGCTTGCTCTTCCTCATCATCCGTGTGCTCTTCCATTTGCTTCAGCCATTCGCTTTCGGGCATCGAATCGATTGAGTAGTCAACCTATGCGAAAAATTAATGAAAAAACGAATAAAATTATACCGTCTTTCTCTTTCGACGACCATCGCCGGCGTTGTCAATATCCATGGATACACCTTCTTGTTCAGCCCGTTCCATTTCATCAAATCGTTCGGCGGCCTTCAAAATATCTTCCGGAATTTCGTTCGCCTCGAGCAAACGAGGCTTCCTAATAGACGTTTACAAGGATGGTAAACTAGTCAAACCTGTGCAGCTGGCCCGCCTCCTCCCGCCGGCGATCAATGTCCATATTTTGGAACAGCGTGAACTCGTCCTCGGAACTAAAATGGTGTCTAGCAATAAGTTACGCACTTACCGGCAAATAAGCTGGTTAACCATCTCGTCATCTGGGATCTCATCTTCATCGTTCTCTTCCTGTTCTTGCCTGAAAAGTGTTTCGTATCGGGCCAGGAGCGAGAGAGAAGGGGAGGGAATCCAAGAAGTCAACCAGTTAGCACAAAACCGACTGAATGTATTGCTCCAACAAGCGACGACGTTCCCCCTCTGTCGAGTTCTGGTTGAACTTTCCGGCTTGGATGACCTTTCCATCAACATTCAACTTTCCACGCGCGACGGCCAGGATTTCTTCCTCCACCGAATTCGCTGTCACCAGGCGCAGCACGCGCACCTCCTTCTTTTGCCCGATACGATGGGCGCGATCTTGAGCTTGCATGTCCTAAGGAACGTCATTCACAAGGAAATAGATTCATACCTGGTGAGGATTCCAGTCGGAATCATAGATGATGACCGTATCAGCTGTCTGAAGATTCAGCCCGAGACCTCCGGAGCGTGTGGACAGCATGAAGACGAAGTATTCGGAGTCGGCCGCGTTGAAAAGCTACGAAACACGTGAATCCAGAAAACCCAAACGGCAAACCTTCACCAGCTCTCCACGATCATCGGATTTGGTATTACCATCAAGCCGAAGATACTTCCAGCCTGAAAACGATTTTTTTTAACTTGGCACAAAAATTTCCTAGTCCCCAGGTAGACGCTAGGCTTACCGCGTGCCGAAAAGAAATCCTCCAAAATAGTTAGCAAATTTGTCATCTGCGAAAAGATGAGGACGCGATGACCCGATGCCTTCATTTTCGGGAGAATACGATCGAGGAGTTCGAACTTGCCGGCAACGCGAATCAAATCTTGGCTAGAAAAAAAAACCCTTGATGGATAAAGAGAAAGACACTCACAACGACACTTCCGGCACTTTCCAGAATTTCCTACAGCTGTCCTCAACGTTATCGAAGATGAAAGGATGGTTACAAAGCTTCTTCAGCTGCATAATTCTGTTCATCAGCGTCTTGCCTCCTTGCTGAAATAGATGTACACCGGGTCGAGTCTACCACCCTACCTGACGGTTAGTGTCAATTAGAAGACCCTTCTTCAAGTGCTGATACAATACTTTCTGAAGTGCCGACATGTCGCATTTGATGACATATTCAGTCTTGTCCGGTAGCTCGGATTCCACCTAAAATCGACGTGTGAGTCGCGGCATATGAGATACCTCTTTCTTGAGACGGCGTAGAAGGAAGGGTCTCAATACTTTGTGCAAACGACGAATGATCAGCATAGACTCTTCTGGGTTCAGCTCCATCTTTTCCCCAGTTGTGGCAAATGGCGCATTGAACCATTGTTCGAAAGTGACGCATGAACTGAAAACATACAATCTTTTAGAAGCTGTAGTTGAGAACTCTCACCTGAAGATCGTGGGCAACAAGAAGTTCAGTAGGGCCCAGAGCTCAGGCAACTTGTTTTGCAATGGGGTACCGGTAAGGAGGACACGGTGCTGGGCATGGAAGAAGCCGTTGAGAGTGAGGGTGAGCTTGTTGGTGTGGTTCTTCATACGATGCCCCTCATCAATGATCATATACTTCCAGCGCACTTTTCCAAGCGATGCCTTCTCGCGCAGGACGTATTCGTAGGTTGTTAGCAAGACATTGAACGACGCCCTACGTACTTGCGCATCCAACCGGCGGCGGGCATCTTTGTCTCCCTAAGTTTTCAAATAAAATAAAAGGGACAGCACAATACCTTGTAGAGAATGCGCTTCACATGTGGAGCCCACTTCTCAAACTCCAGGTCCCAATTGGCGACTGTGGAAAGCGGGACGATGACCAGATAGGGGCCATTGTTGTTCTTGACCTCCATCAGGTAGGTGATGAGCGCCACGGTTTGAATAGTCTTGCCGAGACCCATCTCATCCGCCAAGATACCATTCAGATTGTTGTTGTATAGCGACACCAACCATTCTAATCCCTGAAGAAAAAAATAGGGAATGAAAAAATGGCAATATGTGCACGACTGATGCAACATACCTTGATTTGATAAGGCTTCAGCTTCAGAGTTTCATCCCCGCCGCCCATTGTTGAATGCTGTTTGTCGATAAACTCCTTGTTACGATGAGCGGTCGCGTAGTAGTCGGCCATTTGTTTCTTTTCTTTCGGGTCCAATTCATCTTCCTCGTTCCGCGCCTAAACTACCAGAGTATAAGTTAAGCGCCAAAACGACCTTGTCCAAGATTCGTTTAGCTTTCTCTTCCTCAGTAAGTCCTTCCATCTCATCCACAACTCCCTCATTCTTATCCGGCTTCACGTCTTCATCGCACTCCTCTTCACTCTCATCGGAAATTTGATCACGCGGAACAATCTAAAAATAGTGTGCTGTACTATAATTCTAAATACAAAACACAAAATATTGCAATATGCGTTAGTACTAAAAAAGCAACCTCGTGGCCGGGATGGGTTTCTAACCAAGTATCGATCTCGTCCGGACTCGGACAATCCTCCAAAGGCAACAGCTTTCCAGTGGCCAAATTTCTTATGTGCACGTGCATCACGATCTCTCCTAAAAAGGGCTTGGTTTGGCCTAAAAATCATAGCATACTGCTCTTCTCCATCTTTCGCTCGACCTTCTTCTTCTGCTTCTCGGTATTTTGATGCTGCTTTACAAGGCTGGTCAGCTTTTCCATAAACTCGTCCGTCTGTTTCAAGAGGTGCACGAGACGTTTATCCTAAAAAGAGTCATATCGCAAGTTGCACACGCACCTTTTTCTCGTCGAGCAACTGTCGATAGCCTTCTTCGTCTTCTTGCATCAGTTTTTGCATACGAAGTTTCTCATTTTTGATCTCATCGGCCTTCTTTTGCCGCTCACTGTTTAAGAAGTATGTTTCGACGGCTCGTTTGACGTTTTTCCTCTGAAACAATTAGGATTCGCCTCATAGTCAATTTATAACATACCTGAAGCAGCGTTGATCTATGGAACTCCTTGAATTCACGAGCTGCTTGTTGGATCTCATTGAGCAGCTCAGTGTGCTTCTGCCGTCGTTTCTTCTCGACCTCCATCTTTTGCTGCTTCTCCAGCTTTTCAGTGACGCGCGCTTCGCGTAGCGTTTGCCGCTTCGTTCGCCGGTACGCATAGGGGTTTAGGGCCGTCTCCAAAGTCGTTTCCTTCTTTAACACGCCCATCACTTCCGTTCGCAACTGAACGAAATTTAATAATGAAAAGAGCATAAAGTATTACGTGTGTTTGAAGGTTGACCAAGCGCAAAGATCGCAGTTCGATCTCGCATTTATCCCGTAACTGGGCCGGCAGGTCGGCCGGGAGGTTCGTCAGCTCTTGTATGCGATGCCCAATGCGATTTTGGATTCTGAGAACAACGTCAGAAAAACACTATCTGTCAAACCTATACTCCCGCTCTTTAAATATCGTTTCCGGATCAATGCCGCATGGAATCGGTAGTGTGGAAGACCGGCTGGAAGATCGCTTGACGTGCGTTTGCAATACCCACATCAAGTCGTATGGCAGCTTTTCACCATTTTCGCCTGTAATTTCACGCATCCAAGGATTAACCGGTGTCGCTACCTTCCATAGGGTACTCATAAGCCTCCGGCAACGCTGAAGCCGGTTTACTTCGCGGCAGAACAGCCTGTGAAACTAGGTCCGAAGGGATTGCCTCGTTACGAGCCAGAAGTCGATATATGTTGACCTAAACCAGTCGTTTTCACAAAAGCTACTCCTACCTGAGCTCTCAACTGATTGAGCTGATTTGGGGCCAATTCTTCTTTAGCCCCCGCATCCGCAGCCTGCACCGGTGGAATTTCCGGTAAAGGTCCACCTTCAAAAAATAATAAACGATATACCACTCTAACCTGCTAGCTTAGCACGCAGCTGTTGTGTTTTGAGGTAGCGCGGGTCTGATGTAAGATTCTGCTCCTCCATATTGGTGATCAAATTATCTAGCTTCGCAATCGGCACCTCATTTTGGCCGTCAGGCGGCGGCCCAGTCGACGCCATCTACAAAATGGTCAGAAGTGAATAGCGACCAAGTCGGAACGCGAAGGAAAAGCTACTAATGAACGCCAAGCGATCGTCTGGGGGCCGAACACAACTACAACCGAATCAAACGAGTTTTTGAAAAATGTGCTGATAAGCTGGCGTAAGCGAACATTGTGTCGGAGAGGCGTCCTTGACCAGTGGATCCAAACAGAGCGGGGCGTGCGAGCCTTTTGTTACCATACCCTCTTCCTCTAGCTGTCTGACCCAACCAGTGACAGACACACGGGGTAACCCTCAAAATTTAGCGCTAATAAAGAAAAGGTGTAGAAAAAGTCTGACCAACCAACGAATGACCCAAAATTCTTCAATTGACTGCCCCTCAAGCAGTCGCAAGTTCATTTTTACCTCATCAAAGTGATCCAATGAATTTGTTGGTGCAAGCAATATAGGATGGTATTTTTATTATAGAGTAAGAAGAAGTTTATCAACAATGAACACAATAAAACAATTTGCAATGGTAATCCTCCAGGCGGCAGTGAAGTCATTTACAGCTTCAGCTTGGTGCGCCTCCAGTGACGCCTCTTCGCGTTATACTTGATCTAAAAACAAAGTAAGATCTGCGCAAATAATTCTACCTTGTTGCCAGTCTTCAGCCGAGCCCATTGTGGTAGGGGACGGTTCTGCTTCGCCGCCTTGGCCAGCTTCCTCTTCACGATGAAGGTCTTATGTGCGGCCATTTTACCTGGAAAGTTTTATTCTAACTAGGCCTAGTTTTTATACATGGGCGGGGCGCAAGAAATCGCCGCACTACCCTACACGTAAATTGAGAGATGAAAGCAAGCATCGCGAGAATAGAGTCAACTTGGTTTTCCAAGTTTGGACTTTCGATGGAAAAGGTCGTCGGCGTAATCTTGGGTGGGCAATCGTTTCAGTTTGCGGTAAGGCTGGGTCCCGAGGTTTGGTTGAGGAAAGAGCTTCTGGATCTTGTTGAACTGCGACGATGTCATTGCAGCGCCTTTTTCCGTAGCGTCACCCAAAGTTCCCTAAACAAGAAAATTGAAGCCGCGTAAACACCCGATACCTTCTTAGCGGCTTCATTGTAGGCTTTCGCGCTTCTCTCCGCCTCATGTACGCAATCCATATAAGCAGTATGATGTTTTGCACATGGCTTATCATCAAACTCCCATTTCTTCAAACATCCGAATAGCGCTTGTAGCTCTTGAGTGCATGAGGATCCTAGAAAAAGCGTCGAGTCTACTTCAATAATATACCTGCCGCCTTCGAACGTCTTTCAGCCACTCGGTTTTTGGAAGCCAGTGGGATAATCTCCGTGAAGACAGCAACCTTCGGGTATGTCGTCCTCCCGCGGGAGCCAATATAGGCAGGAACCGTGAAGAACATCACGCACCTAAAACTAAAAACGTGAAGAAGTAACGTAGTCTCGAGATCAGAAAGAATAAGACGCGGGGCAGCGGCCAACGCGAATCAATAGTTCGGCTTGCTGGCAGCAACATAATTCTTGAGAGTAAGCAATCGAGGCCATGAACAAGAATTGGGCATTTTCCAAGCTTCTTTCGGCGCGTGAAAATCGTAGAACCAAAATACAATTCCCCCATAAGCAGCATTTATCCCCACAATCCTCAAAATCCTTACCGCGCTCTCTTTCTTGCTGTTACGTACGTCTTCTTCAAAGCACCGCGCGTCGACGTCGAAAACCGCCGGGCGAGCGCAGAGCCAAAAAGACTGGGTTTTTCTACCGTAACGTGGGCGTGCCGGGACCACACAGAGCCTTGGCTCGTTTCCAATGGAGAAAGTGTACAACTTTAACCTTCTAGAAACCCCCCAACATCCAGGCGGCGTTTTCTAATTCGATAGAAGAATATAGACAGCTCTCTACTGGTTTGTAGGCTAAATGGTTCGTTTATTCTTGCTAGAATGCCCGGTCGGCCAAGCCCACCCCGAATCGCGAAATGGCTTAATTCTGCAAATTGAAATTTTCGTGAAAATCGATTTTTCTATATTTCTCGAAACGTCTGACGGCAATCCATAATTTGTGGACTATGTATTCCCAGTTTGTGTTCGGGAAATGAAATCAAATACTTGTGTTCAACACAGTTTGTGAATAAACTCTAAAATTTATAGTGTAAATTGTGCCCGACTTCTGGATGATCTAGGCCTCTCGTTTTTTGACAAAATCCCATTTTCCCCTTATAATTAAAAGTAAGAATAAAACCGCAGGGGTTCAAGCGTGGCCGACCGAGTTTTTTTAATTGAATATTTGTTTTTTTAACTTAATTTTTTTGCAGTCATTTTTCGGCCTTGGGCAGTCCGCCGAAATCTCCATCAACTTGGATGATGCCGACGCCAGGAAACTTGCAAAAATCAGGTGATTTCTATCCCATTGGGGCCTGAAGGCATATGCAACCCGCGTTGTAATAGGTTGGCCACCCAGCCTGGTTGTAAGGAATGGTGTCGTGATGTCCTTGTGCAATAACCTTTTCCAGAGCGGAAGATGGAACCACCGAGACGCACTATTTATTCTACGATGGTGAAACTGTATCCGGACAGGTCAACATCAACCTGAAGAAGCAGAACCAGAAACTTGAACACCAAGGCATCCGCATCGAGTTCATTGGTCAGATCGGTGAGAATCGGCTCCCCGTTTTTGAAAATGTTCTTTCAGAGGTTTATTACGATCGCGGCAATCAACACGACTTCATCAGTCTGACAAAAGACCTCGCTCGCCCAGGAGACATGATGCAGAATACTTCTTTTCGATTTGAATTTCCCCATGTCGAGAAGCCATACGAGTCTTATGTTGGCACGAATGTCAAATTACGGTATGTGCCTGCTCCGTTTTTATTTGATGGTGATTAGATATTTCCTGCGCGTGACTATCATCCGAAGGTTTACTGACATCGTACGTGAGATGGACCTGATTGTTCACACTCTGAGCAGCTACCCGGAAACCAATGCGAACATCAAAATGGAGGTATCTTTTACATGACCTCCTCGTCTAATTTTTTTTGAGGTGGGAATAGAGGACTGCCTACACATCGAATTCGAATACAACAAATGCAAGTAGGGTTAAGTTTGTGTTCTCATATTTCCTTAGGTACCACCTGAAAGATGTAATTGTTGGCAAAATATATTTCCTGCTTGTGCGCATCAAGATCAAGTATATGGAGCTGTCGATAATCAAAAAGGTATTCATTGCTATCGGCTTTATTCAAGGCTTTAGGAATCCGTCGGTACTGGCCCAAACGTGTTTAACGAAAGCGAAACAATCGCGAAGTATGAAATTATGGATGGCGCGCCAGTGAGAGGTTGTCATACTTTATTTCATTAATTTTTTTGCTTGCAGGTGAATCGATCCCGATTCGGCTGTTTTTGGGTGCCTACGATCTGACGCCGACCATGCGTGATGTCAGCAAAAAGTTCAATGTCCGCTATTTTCTGAACCTGGTGCTGGTGGATGAGGAAGATCGGCGGTATTTTAAACAGCAGGTATGATGAATATGCTCACCTTATGTTTCTCTTAGGAAGTCACATTGTGGAGGAAGCCCGACCGGTTGCCGCGCCGAAACGTTGACGTGGAGACTGTGGTTGTGCGGAAGCAGTTAGACGTTGACGAGAATGGAGAGCCGATTGAGTCGGACATCGCGGACAAGGATGGCCCAGACACCAATGGAGATGCCGTTGCTGAACAAATCGATTAATTTTTGAATGCTTTTGTGTCGTCCATACCGTGCCCCCATTCCAACCTGGTTCCCTTATCTGGTTTTACAAACACGAGTAGTCCCCTTCCATCCTTGATCCCCGTAATACTGGTGTGATGACGTTCCATTGAGAGCGTCACAATGTTGCTTTCTGTGATACTCTGCTAGATTTTAATTTGTCGACGATTGTTGCTTCGGTACATTGCCATTGTTCTTGGAATAACTTATGCATGGTGCTTTCCAGTTTCTCAGTTTGTGAATTTTATTAGACCGGTTTGTGTTCCCTAGTTCGTACAGATCGAAAAGACTGATTGTAATCTGTGATAATGTGTCATAATAAAATTTTTATGAGGTTATGGTTCCGGCTTTTACCTTGTTTGTACCAAAGTCACTTATCTCTGTTTGGACCCGCGTAGACAATTACTCAATCCTGGTTTAGGCAATGACGTCCGTTGCCCAGTTGATGTTCGATGAATTCGGGCAGCCCTTTATCTTGATGCGTGATCAAGAGAAGCAGAAGCGGATAACGGGAATTGAAGCCCTAAAGAGCCACATCCTCGCCGTGCGTGCCGTTTCAAACACTGTTCGAACGTCACTTGGGCCCCGCGGTTTGGACAAGCTGATGGTTTCGGGAGACGGTGACATCACGTTGACAAATGACGGTGCCACGATCGTCGACAAGATGGATGTGCAGCACCCTATTGCCAAGCTCATGGTCCAGCTCAGCAAATCGCAAGACTCCGAAATTGGTGATGGCACGACCGGTGTTGTCGTGTTGGCCGGTGCACTACTGGAGGAAGCCGAAAAGTTACTGGACCGCGGCATCCACCCCATCAAGATCGCCGATGGATTCGACCTGGCATGCAAGAAGTCGCTCGAGACCTTGGATGCCATTGCTGTCAATTTTCCAGTCAAGGATCGCGAGCGTCTGGTTGAGACCGCGGAGACCTCGCTCGGATCAAAAATTGTAAACCGTGCGGTGCGACACTTTGCTGAAATCGCCGTCGATGCTGTGCTTTCTGTTGCTGATATCGAGCGAAAGGACGTCAATTTCGAGCTGATCAAGGTGGACTCGAAAACCGGCGGAAAGCTAGAGGACTCGCTGTTGGTCAAGGGAATTCTGCTCGACAAGACCCTCTCGCATCCTCAAATGCCTCGGGAGATCAAGAATGCTAAAATCGCCATCCTCAACTGCCCGTTCGAGCCCCCAAAGCCAAAGACCAAGCACTCTTTGGACATCACTGACACCGCTGCTTACAAGGAACTGCGGGAATATGAAAAGACCGTGTTTGAGACGATGATCAAGCAGGTGAAGGATTCTGGCGCTACCCTTGCCATCTGTCAGTGGGGATTCGATGATGAGGCTAATCACCTGTTGCACCGCCACAACCTCCCCGCCGTTCGTTGGGTTGGTGGCCCCGAACTGGAGCTGCTCGCCATTGTCACTGATGGACGCATCGTACCGCGATTCTCTGAGCTGACTCCTGAAAAGCTTGGCAGAGCCGGTTTGGTCAAGGAAATCTCGTTCGGCACAACAAAGGACCAGATGCTCTGCATTCAGGACTGCCCCAATCATCGCGCTGTCACCGTTTTCGTTCGCGGTGGCAACAAGACGATCATTGATGAGGCGAAGAGATCCCTGCATGATGCGATGTGCGTGGTCCGCAACCTGGTCAAGGATGACCGAATCGTCTACGGAGGAGGCTCTGCCGAGACTGCTTGCGCGCTGGCTGTCGCAAAGGAGGCCGACAAGGTCACTGGCATCGAGCAGTACGCCTACCGCGCCTTTGCCGATGCACTCGAACAGATCCCGATGGCGTTGGCCGAAAACTCTGGACTACCACCCATTGAGGCCCTCGCAGACCTGAAGGCCAAGCAGATCAAGACCAAGAATCCGAATCTGGGAATCGATTGTCTCTTCAAGGGAACCAACGACATGTGCGAGCAAAAGGTCGTCGAAACCCTGCTGAGCAAGAAGGAGCAGCTCAGCCTTGCCACGCAAGTCGTCCGCATGATCCTCAAGATTGATGATGTCCGTCTGCCTGATGAAGATGCTTGATTAAGTGAACCGAATCTCTGACTCTACCCGCGTGCTTTATGTCCTGACTTTTTGTCGATCCTCAATGCTGCTTTGTTTTGTTTGTTGATTTTGAAAGTTGCTAATTGTGAGATAAACTTTTTAAACGTTTATTTGCAAGAGAAGCGCATGGTACAATTAATGACGTTTGATAATTACAAGAAATAGTATAGGTTGATTGATGACGTCGAGTAGTTTTCGAGGCCGAGTTTAATTCTGAAGAGTGTTGTTCACAGTCCGATGATGTTTTCTTTGAAGCGATCGGGGTGAAGGGAAGGATACATGCGGTAGTCGACTTCATCGGCTGAAATCTTGTGGATTGGACCCTAGTCTGGCGCTTGGTTGACGACTGTCTTGTCTTACGTTGCTTCTTTCGTATTACCGGGGGAGGGGGGACCGAACTTTTTTGCATAAGGCTAGAAATTAATTGTAACTTAATAGAATGTGTTTAAATAGTGGTTGCAGTAATCTATAAAAACTTTTTTTTAAAGTCTAAATTTTGGTAAAAAGTCGACCATTTTCGGTCGAAAAATCGATATTTGTGATATTTTTCGATACAAATTTGTCAGTTTTCACGTTCAGAATAGTCTTTCAGAAACACTTTGACTATTTATATGTGAAAAATTAGTTCCGAAGAAAAAGTTGTTCCCCCCGGGAATACGCAAGAACCCTTACGTTTTGCGGGGAGGAACTCGGCGGCTTCTTCAGGGGTCGGTTGCAGAGCAGTGACCAGCTCGTCGGCCTCCCATTCGAATGGCATGGAGAACTGTGCGCGATTCCTCTTCATTCCTTGCAGGAGCTAGAATAATGTTTTGTGGATCGCCATCTACACTTACAAACTGATGCAGCTGAAAATAATCGGGACGGTCGGCATAGCCAAGCCCTTTCAGGTAGTGCTTGATTTCGACAAATTCACGGGGGCAATGCTGAAAATCGCATAAATTACTTCACCCCGTCTACCATAAAGATTGTGCTGTCGGGGAGGGTGCGCTTCTGCCGCATAATCTTCAGCTCGTCGTGCTCTTTGTTCCAGGGCAGACGGAAGAATACTTCGGTCATTGTATACAGCCAGGCCCAGAGATCGTCAGCTCGACACTGCTCCTTGCGTAGATGAACATTGAGCGAGCAGTAGCGCAGTGTGCCCCTGGTTCAGGGTAGTATCTATCTATATTGAGGGCTCACCGGAAGTCCGTCTTTTCAACACGTTCTTTGCGCAGCTTCCAGCTATTGCCGCTCTTCCTGACAAACGTGCGAACCATGCCGTAGTCAATCAAGTAGAGGGATGAGCGTCCTTCACTGTCGCGACCGAGCATCAGGTTGCCCGGCTTGATGTCGCGGTGGATGTAGCCAATCTCGTGCAGCTAGGAAAAGTGTAAGCCATATAGTATTAGGATCCCGGTTTTTCGTGATGGTGTAGAGATGATTGATACCTGTTTGATTGCGGCGAGAGCCATGATGCCGAGCTTCAGCATGGAACCCTCAGTAATTGGAGGGCTGAGCGATCGTTTCAGCGAGTACAAATCTCTCTCGAGTAGTTGGATGATGAGAAATCTGAAAGAAACCTGAACTATAACTGTTTTATCCTACCGAAATCCGGCCACCTTCCCGCCCAATAAAATCTCCATGACGTTGCTGGCCCCATTCTTGCGCAGCTCCTCGAGGACGCTGTATTCCAGCTTCAAGGATTGGCCCTTGTCGCCTTTTGGTTCGACCTTAACAAGGAGATCAGGGTATCGGGTGCTGGACTAACGTTAATGTTTACTTACTAACCTTAGGGTGCTAATCTTACCCTGGCAATCCCGGACTGCCCTATAACTAAAATTTATCAAAAATTGTGTGTGTGTGATTTACTAGCAATAAAAAAACCACGAAAAACGCTACAGAAAGGGTAGAACGTAGGGTGCTAATGCACTTAGAGGGGGCCGCGGTCCGGTTTTGTAATACGAGACTCTCCAAATGCTGTTTTTGAAATTCTAAGGCACTGGAAAAGCAAAGCTAAGTCTAAGCCTAGGCCTGGCTTCATGCAAACGAAGCCTGAGCCAAGTTAAGCTCAGCGCTAGGTTACGCCCTAATTGACCCCATTTTCACTTCGTAAGGCAATTTAAAGCTTGAGATGTGCTTAGCTTGGGCTTAAGCTTCAGCCTAAGCCTACGCTAAGCATAGCTAAAGCTAAGTTAAGCCTAAGCCTAAGCTAAAAACCAAGTAGCGTTAGTGGAGCTCCTCGTAGCCCCTTACTAGCAATTTCGGACGGCATTTGCACCACGGAAAGACATAAATTACTCCCCCCGCTAATAGTCCAGCACCAAAGTTTCAAAAAATCCTTGCAACAAAACTTGCAATCCTTGCAAGTTTCAAAAACAATACTTTAACAGCCCGCTGAGCATGGGTGACATGATCGCAAACACGATAGATGGCCCCGCCGCTGCCTTCACCCAGCTTCTCGATAATGCGCCACCGATCGGCAATCATCATCCCGGCTGGCAATTGGAAGACGTCACATTCTGACGAGATTTCAGGGCGCTCCTGAAAGTGAATGCTTCAAAAAAAGGCCTGGCTACGGACCTGTACGATGTCGGGTAGTTCCTGGACAGCGAGCGGATCGTCCGCATCGGGCATCAGCCCCGGCGAGGTGCCGGCCAACGCCTTCGTCATTCGCTGCGTCTGAAAAAGATGTGGTGCTTGCGCGGCATCTAGTGGCCGGCATTGGTATTCAAATTTTGTTTTCATAATTTAGCTTTCAGAGAGGGACTGACCTGTTAGCGGGGGGGGGGAGTGGATTCGCAACCGGGGTCGATTTTTAACCTTTATTTTCTTCTTTGCTTTTTCACTCTTTTCACCCTAGGTTTGTAGTTAAAATATTTTTAGAAACTTCAGCACGTTTGAAATTTTTGGTCCTTCTAAAGGAATTGGAACGGGGACCCCCCCCCCCCCGTTAACGGTCTAGAACCTCAAGATGCCCATTTCCGAGGCTTAATTGTTGACACTTCGATGCTGAAACGCTGAAAGAGGCTTCTTTTCCACTTGTGTGAGCAGTTGGCTGTCACCCTGCTGGGGTCCTGCCGGCTACTTTTTCGGCGGAAATTTACACCCGGTCGAGATGTGAGGATGAGTAGAGGCTGACTGGCTAGCGAATAACTTGCAATTGCAGCGCCTCGGAATGGAGCTCAATCTCCTTGTCGAAGGAGGACCACCGTGGGGTCTTCGGCTGGCCGCAAGCTGGCATGCTGAACGGATGCGGCCCACCGTATCCCAGGTTTCAATATTTTTTTGCTGATCGAATTAGACCTTTAGGCTCTTTCGCATTAGTAGGGGCGCCGAATTTTTGTCCTATCAATGCAGAGTTCCCAGTAACGAAATGTTCCTTGAATTTATCAAAGCAAGAAAAAAGAATTATTTGATTCCTAATATAAAAATACAGTCAGAAACGATTTTTTCTAAGTTTTAACCTATGTTAAAAAAATTGGGCATAGGTTTGGTAAGGAAGCACGAGTACCGTATTTCTGCACTATGTTTTAGGTTATAGTAGGGTCGTTTTAATTGCATTAGATGCTATAGATAACTTTTGACCGTTAAATATCTTTCCAGATATGACGGGGGATTCTTTAAATTAAACTTTTCAGGGCTTTCAGCGCCAAAAGGTGGCTCAGGTGTGCGACCAGGGGGGGGGGGGGGAAGGGCCGGCCAGGCTCTGGGTGAATCGCCACGGAACTGTCCGAGAGTCAACCTGACTTCATCATTGCCACCGCCGGGGTTCGAACCCGGGACTCGCTGGGTGGAGCGTCGCGCCCCAACCCACTGCGCCAGACGCGCACAGGGGAGGGGGGAGGGGCGGGGTCTTTTGTACCCACAGCCCCCTGAGCGCGCCAGGGCTCGGGGCGGTACTCAAAGGCCGTACTACAAAATTATTTTTTTATTGTTTTTAATATGGATTGCTTCGCGGGGTGTCCCAAACCCCCCTCCCCCTACCTAGCGGTCCGCAGTCGTGTCCGATTTTTACGATTTAGGTATCTATCGAAAGCTCTCGAAAAGGCGAGAAAACAAGCGAGAAATTAGCGAATAAAATACATAATAGAATAATAGAGAAAATGAACTCTCCTTGTTTTCTCGCCTTTTCGAGTGCTTTCGATAGATACTTAAATCGTAAAAATCGGACTCGACTGCGGACCGCTAGGTAGGGGCGGTTTTTTTCGACACCCTGTATAAAGTATTTTTCCTCCGCTTCGCGTCTTTTCAACCCAGGCTCCGTCTAGGAGCGATGATAGTCGGCATTTTGCATAGTTCCTCCCGAATACCCATACAAAAATGAAAACGATCCGCTGCTGCCCCTTTATATAATAACCTCTACCCAGTTCCGGCCTTTGCAAGCCTCCTAACATTTTTCGATTTTTCGGTATCTTTACAAAAACTTGAATTTAATAGCGAAAATAGTTTATTTTGAAAAAGCTCATATGTGTGTAATAGTTCATCTCGGACTTTTTTTAGATAGTAGGATAGTAGGACGAGAAAAATTGAATCCTAAGGGGAAAACTTGATCCCCGAAACCCCCCGGCCCCCTAATAATGCGAAAGTACCGATGTTTAGCTTATCCCTACTGGACGCGCCAAAGCGGCGGGTATCCAGGTATAGTTGTATTTAACCACGTTTTATCTGCTCAGCTCGCAGGTCGGCGACCGAGTGTTGCGTATCAATGGCGAAAACGTGGAGTGCGTCACCCAAGCGCATGCACTCATCCGACGCAGCCGTGGCCCAATTAGTTTTCTTGTAACGAGGTAGATTTTTTTGATAAAACCAGGTTTTTTAAACCGTTTTTAGGGATGTGGGTACAGAGGTTCTACCGCCTATATTCAAAGAAGTCGACGCGGAGATTGAGAATCATTATAAAGGGGCCACGCTGGTATCGCGAATTTAATCCATTAAAATGCTATAAATCATATATCATACAGGATAAGAAGCGGTTCTTCGAGCGACTCGCAGGAGATGATCATAACCGAAGGACAATGACGCCGACGAGTAAGCCATGGCCCATTTCGAATCAGTTAGTTCAAAGCAACGATGCCGCAAGTAGTGTCGGGTACGTTTTCTCAAGCCGTAATTCCTCGTTCCTTACCTCTTCGACGTAGATTTCCAGGTACGAGCTGGGCCTTTGCGACTTTTCTGGAAGTATAGCATCGAGCGTCTCGGGACGCATCTCTCCGAGGTGGGAAATTGATTTCGCGTCGGAGCGGGGGTGGCGGGTAGCTCAACCCGATTTCCTGTGCGCGAATTCGAGCCGAGTCCACTGGCTATCAAATATATTGAACCGTTCGTTTCTTTAGCATCATAGTTCTAGAGGGGTGGCGCTACTTTTGCTGAAAGGAAGCCATTGCTTTCCCCCTAATATTGAAATGTCAGCCTTTCAGCATCGACTCTGAAGTGAATGCGCTGCTTTGTATGGGTCCAAATGGTATGTTAGCAGTCTGTCTTTTATCACTAGTTCGCACGTTTTTGCCTGTTGTTTTTACGATGTTGGCACCCGGGGTGAGGGGAGGGGGCTATAAACAGCTGGGGGTGGCGTGAAGGGCTGCCGATAATTAGCATCCCTGGTTTTTAGCTCGATCGCAGCTGTAGAGCAGTTGTATGACTTTTTTCTGGCGGGCTTTGCTTGACTTTAGTGATTAATCTACTGTCGATTCTTTCGCATCATCAACATCACCATAATAATTTTAGTCCAGAAATGCCTATTAATGTAAAAGTCAGTATTTAAGTGTTTGGTAAGGTTTGACGAAAGTTCAACGGTTTCTACGTTTGAAAATAGTCAAAAATAATTTAGAAGCACTCCCTATATTATTTTTAAATTTTTTTGACCCCCCCCCGAAAATTTAAAAAATTTTTTAATTTTTTATATTTTTTTTTTTTTTTTTTTATATAAAAAAAAAAAAAAAAAAAAAAATTTTTTTTTTTAATCAAAAAAAAAAAAAAAAAAAATTTTTTTTAAAAAAAAATTTTTTTTATTTTTGGGTGGGGAGTTTATTAAATTTAAAAAAAATGCCCCCCCGATAATGCCATAGCACCAGCGTTTAAATCATCGTTTGTTTACGCAATAACTCAGCAATTTGACCCTGGAAATTAATATCTTGGCGCCTGAACGTGTGTCTAAAATGGCTGATCTACACGGCAGCTGGGTGTGGTGTTCGGAGGCTAAAGATATCGTTGAGGGATATCCTTGTGTCCCTCCGGCTGTCCCATACCACGATTCTCTCCGCCTATCGTTGTAACACTCGGACTCGCCGCGAGAGCCGGGCGTGTACAACCTCTCGCTCCATGGCTGGGCCCTATTTTTCGCGCCGTTAGCCGCACTTTTTACTGCAACGCCTCGGAATTGATCAGCGGGTTTGGGCGATGCTTTACTTGAAATTCGGTGCTTTTGTATTATCGGGGGGGGGTGCGAATTTTTTCTTTAAGGACCAATTTTCATATTTTAAATGGTAGTAGTGTTTCGAAGCTCTTTTTTCACTTATCAGAAGAATGAAATCTTTATTTTTTAAAAATAAAAAACAAAAAGGCGATTAAAGCTTTTTCAAGAGTGTCCTAATCTATGGTGAAATTTCCGAAAAGCACCATTAAGATCCGTATTGCCTCGGCATTTCTGGACTAATAGGGCAAAATTCAGCCACTCCCCCCGATGATGCTAAAGAACCGAAATTCTGAAACCTTGAAAACCCTTTCATCAAGTTAGTCCTTGCGGTGTTTCCCCTCATTTTATCCGTACAGTTGCAGATGTTCAATTCGAAAACAAGATTTTTCGTTGAGATAGGCACGAATGCCCTTTGACGCATCGAATCAATTTTAAGTATCTTTAACCTTTCCTTTGTTGAGCCTCGAATTTTTCCAAGTAACTTCCAGGTCATTCAACAATGTATAATGGCTACGAATATGCAGACGACGAGCTCGAGCGGGTCATAGAGCAACAGGTGGGTGATGAGGAGGATTTTATTCCAAAATCCAAACACCAATTTAAATCCCAGCAAAAATGCCGACAGCCAGAATCTGGAGAGCGAAAATCCCGACATATTATTGACGCTAGTTTGGAAAATATCAATTCTTTCAAATAGCTAGTTTGCATGTCAGGATTTCGAGTGCCGGCATCACTTTCGGGGTTATAGCTGTCGGGATTATCGTAGTCTAGCTTTTGTCGTTGCCCCTTAAATTTACGGGTTCGAAACGTAATAATATTGGCGGTCGACAGTTCTGCGGTTTTCGGTGTTCCCTGGGTGGACGGCCACTTTTCAAGGGCATTGCTATTGTGAGGATGTAATGACTGCATTAGCGGGGGGGGGGGGGGTTAGTCGGGTCATCTCTTCCATTATTGTCGCACGGAATGAGGTGTCGGCAACTCGCCGCATGGCCCTAATATTATGGGGGAAACATGCCCGAAACGGCTTATTTTCAAGAAAATGTTCCTTGGTCTTACAGGGGAACCAACTTTTTCATACGTGCCAATTTTTTCTAATACAAACACAGGACGTATTTTTAATTTTAATTTTAATTCCAGTACGTAAAAACCTTGCAAAATTTTACTACAAGGTACAACCACATCGATTTTTCGACCAAAATGGTCGATTTCTGACCAAAAACTAAGAATTTTCGGTTTTTTTTCCAGTGTCCTTGTCCAATATATTTTTATTTGACTAAACGCACCAATAAAACACTTACCATAGGCCTTTCTTTACTTATTTTACACACACTTACCATTTCTGAACTTATAGGAAAAATTGATTCCCCCGATAAATTCCAGATGGCGGCCGCAAAAGCTGCCCACCAGGCCCAAACATGGGGAATGCGAGCACAGGTGATAGTGGCATTTAGCCGAAATACCATGTATTTTTTGTTGCAGATCAACAATGCGACCCCGGCCGAAGGGACCGTCGAGATCCCTGGGCGACGAAGCGTCGCAGAGTTGGCCAACAATCTCGCCGGACGACTTGAAGTTTGTGTTAGTGATTGTGTTATATTCTTTTTAAGGTTAAAGCCCCAAATGGCCTAACATCCGGTCGTCCAAAAACCCCGGTCAGCGCCCCGGCCCCGTTTCAGCTGGGACGAGTGGTGGATGAGCCGAGGTTAGACCTGAAACAAATCCTTCGGCACTTTCGCATTATCGGGGGGGTGTTGTTTAGCATTCATCAGCGTCAAACCGACCGAAATTTCCAGGTTTTTAAGCTGGCTTTTCCACTTTAATTAAAGCAAAATTTTATTAAAACACTACTTAAACACTTACTTTTATGTTACTAGACATTTCGGAGCTTGTAAGAACCCCCCCCCCCCAATATTGCAAAAGGCCCAATTCTTCTATCCTATATGCCGAAAACCGATAAAATTTGAGAACTGAATCCCCAGCAGGGGGAAATGGAGCTACGGAAAAGGCCTATTTGGGCAGGTAGGAATTTTTAGTTAGATTTCTTACCGAAAGAAATTAGGGTGCTAGACGGACCGGTGGATCCGAAGAAGTATTTCCAAGGAGTGCCTCCGCCCAGTTCGGTACAGGTATTTCGACGTTTGTCTGCCTGTGGATGTTCCTTTTAGGTCACATCACCCCCTGTGCAGCGGAAGACTCCAAATATTGCTCAATCTTTCCTCAATGCACAAGCCAGCGCTCGCCCATCTCATTCATTATCGTCGAATTTTCGTAACGGGTTAGTTGCCATTTGCGGTTATTGAGTATTCGGCGGGGGAAATGAATTCCTGGTGTCTTTTTCTTCTATGCCGAACTCTACAAATTTTAATCAAAAATTTTATTTTATTGCAAAAATAACAAATTTCGACTTTTGTGGGTATTTTTTAACTTTTAAAAAGTTTTTCTGCTTCAAATATTGTAAAATTTTGATAACTATATTGACTTATAGGCTAGCCTGGAGCCATAGGAAACTGTCGTTTCTCGGAAGGACCTGTAATTCTGCCCAACTAATGCTCCAAATTTCAGCGTGCACGCCGGATTGTCGAATAACGCCTTCTCCGATCCGTCTAACTCCCCGGGTTTCTACCGGCGACAATGGGGTCCAGGCGGAAAGCCGAACGGCTCTGGGACCCCGAATCCGGCGATAAACAGCCAGGCCGTTGTCACAAAGTCTTCCGTCACCTACTCACGCCCACCACTGACTCAACAAAAGCAAACTGAGGCTGCCGAAGACCCGGAAAAGAATCACGATCTGGTGTGTATTTTTTCCTGAACGTCCGGGACTTGGAAAGGGATTCCCCGACTGGCACCCCCAATTTCCATGAATTTAGGGTGGCACACTCTCGCCGGCGGATACGGCAACGATCAGCAGCTACGGAAGTGTACTATCTACGGAAGAAGATCGCTTCATGTCGCCAGTCGGCAATTCCGGTGCCGATGATCAACCGACCAATGGTATTGATGCGGAAAAAGGGAAAGAAGGAGGCTATCGGCAGCGAGCATCCCGCCGCGCCAATCCCGGTGAGCTTGAATTTGATAATTTTGTTGAGTTTAAGACGGAGGTCAATTGTATATACAGCCAAAAACACCTTTAGGAGACCGAAAACACTAATACTGACGGCAGCGAAATGAGCGCCGAGGAGCAACGCCAGTTACGCCAACCACCACCCACCGCCCCCAAGCCGGTCACCCCGCTACATTTTGCCGCTCCAAACCTAGCAAAAGAGGAAACGAGCATGGAATTGACGGAGACTAACGCGTCATCAGTCCACGAGCCCATCCTTGCTCGAACGCATGCTCCGGATGTTCATCTAGCGCGCACGACCCCTGTCGTTTTCGATCGACCACCCGAGGAGGACGACGAGCCGGTGCGGATTTTCGCAGATTTTATTTACACGAATTTTAGACCGATCCACCAGCCCCTGGGCGCACAATGGACCTGGAATCATCAACTACGGCCCGACAGTTCGCCTACACGACCAGTCGCCCCGATCACTACGCGACGATCCGCCGGGGTACGGCCTCACTCATTTCCCCGGCGGCTGCCCGTATCGGCCCTTCCCGTAGCACACAAGACAGTGGATATGGGGAGGTTCAGACAACACCCGATGGCCACGGTACGTCGTTCTACTGGGCATCTACACGGGTTTAGGAGCACCGTCTTTTGATGCCCTTTCCGTTAACACCTACTCGCAAGCGCCCAGCGAAGAATTCAATGGTATGCGTTCACTTAAATGTTATTGTATACTTTAAACTTTAGCTTCATAAAAACGGGTTTTTAGGAATTTTTTGGGAAATTTATCTGCGCTTATTGGCCCTCTTTCCGCTCTTCATTTGATGACATTGGCACATACAAAAAATATGCTAAAATATTTCCAAAACCCTCTTGATATTTTACGAGACTTCGGATACAAGCTTCTCGGTTAGCGGCTGCATCCCCGCGATTGGAGGGCCGCGCGGTGGAATGCAAATTTTGGACTGGAGAACCGCGTGGCCGGGGCCAGCGCGCAAACGTGGAATGCCCGTCTCCGCGTCCGGATTAGCCCCCTCCCCCCCCGTCCCGTAGCTGACATTGATTCCAGCTTCCTTACGAATCAGTGGTAGCATAAATTGTTTCGTCGTTCAGCTAGATCGCTACCTTTTTTATTTTGATCGGCTTTTACCATAAAAACAATATATATTTAGATAAATGTTATGAAAATATTTTAGAAAGCTTGGAAAATGGATTTTATTGGCGATTTTTTGGGCAAAATCAAGTTTCTGAGGAGCGTTTATATCTAAAAAGGGACTAGGATGCTATAAAAATTGTCTAGATTTTGTTAAGCGGACAGGATTACAGGATTACTGGCAAAAACTTTGTTTCCCCCGCTAACAATCCGCTGCCATTCTTGTTCAACAACTATTTTTGACTATAGGTACAGCCACATCGACAGCCGCATCCTCATCATCCGCGGCTCCGCCAGCGGACGAGGTCGTCGCCGAGAAGAGGCCCATTTTTGAGGAGGACATGTCGCAATGGTACCGCCAAATGTACAACCGGATGCATCGAGTCGATGGCAACGGTTTGTGGCTTTTCCTTCACTGATTATGAGCTCGAATCTAGGCTTCGGCTTTGGCTTAGGCTTAGGCTTAGGCTTAGGCTTAGGGTATGCTTAGGCTTAGGCTTAGGCTTAGGCTTAGGCTTAGGCTTAGGCTTAGGCTTGGCTTAGGCTTAGGCTTAGGGTATGCTAGGCTTAGGCTTAGGCTTAGGCTTAGGCTTAGGCTTAGGCTTAGGCTTAGGCTTAGGCTTAGGCTTAGGCTTAGGCTTAGGGTATGCCTAGGCTTAGGCTTAGGCTTAGGCTTAGGCTTAGGCTTAGGGTATGCTTAGGCTTAGGGTGCTAGGCTTAGGCTTAGGCTTAGGGCTTAGGCTTAGGCTTAGGCTTAGGCTTAGGCTTATGCTTGGGCTTAGGCTTGGGCTTGGGGTGTGCCTAGGCTTAGGCTTAGGCTAGGCTTAGGCTTAGGCTTAGGGTATGCTTAGGCTTAGGGTATGCTAGGCTTAGGCTTAGGCTTAGGCTTGGCTTAGGCTTAGGCTTAGGCTTAGGGTATGCTTAGGCTTAGGCTTAGGCTTACAGTTGAAAGCCGCCTACTCCAGTGCCCCCTTTATTTTTTTTGTGCGGCTGAAGCGTAGGAGGCATTGCGGCGAGCTTGTCTCTTTCGCTGTCCATTTGCTTTCTGTCTGTCTGCCTGTCCGTTTCACTGGCTGACTGACCGTCTTCCCCCGTAGGTGGGCCCTCAGAATAAACAAAACGAGTGGCCCCGGCAATCCTCTTCCACCTTTTCGCCCGCCGATCACCTCGAAACGCCGGCCCCCGAAATCCCCCTTGCATTCTTTTTTTGTGGCTTTGCTATGCGGGTGTTTCTTGCGTTCTATTAGTAATAGTTCTTTTGAGACATGTTTCAAAGTGTAGATTTCATTATTTTTTATTCGTTTTTGCATTAGCGGGGGGGGCGGATCCAATAAGGCCAGATACGCCTAGTAGCTTCATTTTTTAATTTTTAGATTTTTTGTCTGTTAGTAATTTAATTCTTTGTAATGAAAAGGCCGTTTTCTGGTATTTGGGATGGAATTCATGAATATACCAGCCCTATGGCGTTTCTTCTCCGCCAAACGGGGGTTCCCCCCCCCCCCCCCCCCCCCTCCCCTTTCTTTTTGATTTTTTTTTATTTTAATTCTTTAAATTTAAAATATTTTAATAAATTTTTTTATAATTAATAAATTATTTAAAAGAGTGTATAAAAGATGATGGGGGGGGGGGGGAGGGGGGGGGGGGGGGGGGGGAGAAAGGGGGGGCGGGTTTTTTGGTTCGCTCTTTTTTTTTTTTTTTTTATTTTAAAAATTAAAATTTTTAATTTTTTTTTAATTTTATTTTTTTTTTTTTTTTTTATTTATTAAGTTTTTTTATATCAATTTCCAATCCCATACGAATTAAATTTTTTTTTTTTTTTTCTTTTTTGTTTTTTATAGGTGTTCCAAAAACCACCCCCCAATATTAGGTGGAAAACCGAAAAATTTTGCAACGAAAATAGGGCGTTTTTAGTTGTAATTAAAAAAAGGTGGCTAAAGTCTAGGTTACTCTTACTCTATTTATATTAGAAAATTTGGATCGAAAAGTATAAATAGTAGAAAAAGTAGAACGTTCGTGACAGTGCGAATAAGCTTTCCTGTTTTTTTCTTATAGGGAGATGACAAGCAGCTATTGGGTGGAGTGGTAAGATTGCCCTCTAGCTCGTCCCTTTGCACCCATAATATTGTTATCTTCGCCCACCCATTTCACGCAACGAAGGGCCGGGCATAAATTTCGAGTCTCCCCCGCGGCTTGCCATTGGAAACGCGAAAAAATGTGCGTGTGTGTGGGGCGGGCATCGGCTTCTTTTGTGCCGCCAGGCGCCGAATCGGGCTTATTCGAAGCGAGGAACCGATTCTCAAATTCGTATTGACATACCGGAGACTCTGCTCGCCACCGCAGGTTTCCCCAAAATTTGTTGGCCTTATTTTGATATTTGTGTATCGACCAGGGGACCGAATTTTTTTTCTTATGTGGTCTCGTCTGTAATGATGAGAAAATTCAATTCAACTTTCAAAATTCAAATGCTTTTGAGAAAATTCGACTAGATTTGATGCATAAAAACTTGAACAACTTTCTAAAAATGTTGAAGACTTTAAAATTAGTTGGAAAAAATACCCGTGGATACTCAAATGCGCTTAATTTTTAATAGCGTAAATCCTTCCCTGCTACAAAGATAAAAATAAAATTATTTTATCTTGGCTGGCTCTCTATTAAAAAAATATAAAATGTCAAAACGTTTTTCAGACTCTGTCCTAAAGTACTACGTTCGTGAGGGCAATTCCCCAGGGCGAGATTCAGCGGCACTCGGAAGAGATCGTACGTATCTGGGCATATTCCTGGTCATCGATGCTCTTTTAGGTCCGTGGACACCATCGGCACGTCTTGAGTCGGCTGTGTGGGGCGGAGGAGCTGTAGAGCCGACGCCTCGTACCGATCAGCGACGCGCCAGAAGTGTAGGACGTGGCTTTGACGTCGAAGGTAGGAAATTAGGTTTAGTTAGAAGGGTCTAGCGAACGCTAAAAATCTACGTATTTCTGAAAAGCAGCTTACTCGACGGAAGGCGCAAAATTCGTCAGATTTTTGGTGGCAAATTCATTGATTTTTGCCAATTGAAAGAATTGTAAAAGTTTCGGCGCTCGGGATCATAGAAAAGTGGTTTAATGACTTAAAAAACGTCATTATCTTTGCGTAAGGTATAAAATCCGTTATTTTCTATTCCTTATGTTTATGCCCTCTCCACCCTCTACTACCTTCTCATAGTTGTGTGAATATTTCGACTACACCCCTCCCTTCCGATTCTTCCGTCCCAGTTCACCCCGGGTCCTCCGATTTGTCCGCCCCCCCCCGCTCCCGTCCAATTTCCAATCCCGTTTCGCCCATACGCGCGGCCCCTTTTATCTACAACCCATATTTTGTGGGCTCATTTTCCGGCCATCCTTTACTCTTTTACCCAAAGGCCTTTTTTGATGACCTTTTGATCTTCACACGGCTCGTCAGCCCTTACCAAAAACGCACTTTGGGGGGCGGCGGCCCTCTCCCCGCGGACAGTGGGTTAACTCCCCGGGCGAGCCCCGCGCACCCCCCGGGTTCGGTTCCTCTCGGGTACGAATCCCTCCATTTTCATGAAAATTCTTTTGCTTTTTGCTCCAATAGTATCACAAAGACTCTGGGAGGCAGTAAGCCAAATCAAAGAAAATGGCGGCCAGAAGGATTTCTGCCGGAAAGGAGCTCAAAAAAGTCGCGGATTCGCTATAAAATCAGTTTTTGAAGGCCGGGTCAATTTTTTACTAAATCATGAGATGTATTCCCAGTTGGGGCCTTTACTTTAGTAGATTAGGACAGTTCTTACGAGGCTGACGCCTCTTTTTCAAAAAAACTTGGCGTTTGAACTCATTTCCAGAATCGACTCATGATAATTTAGTAATTCTCGATTCAGGTATATGTCGGCTACGCGGGGGGGAAATTTTTACGCGGGGGGGACGGGACAGGCAGGCCTTTTTGGATGTTTTCGTTATTTTCTCGGAATTTTCGCAACGGCATTCGATAGAGCATCGAAAAATATACTAAGAGTTGTTGTTTTAGCTAAACTTAGTGTAATATAAAAAAGTTATGGCAAATACAAAAATAAGCTTCGAAAATCGGTTTGAGCGGCTGTTTTTCGATATTCGCGATATTTTTTTGACATTTTAAAGATGCCATTCGATAGAGCATCCAAAAATATACTAAGAGTTTTAATTTTAGCTCAAAATAATGTAATATAAAATAGTTATAACAAAAACAAGTATTAAACGTTGTTTTCATGGAGGACATAGAAGGAAATCAAATTTTCGACATTTTCGACATTTTTACAAAATTTCTTTTGTGCCATTCGACAGAGCGTCAAAAAATATACTAAGAGTTTTGTTTGTAGCAAAAAGAAACGCAAAAAAAAAGTTAGCTCGGCCCCAATAGTCCGTCCCCCCCGCGTAAAATTTTCCCCCCCGCGTAGCCGACATATACCCTCGATTCACGCTCTCTGATTTGACAAAATTATGTAGGAAATGGCCTTATAAAGCCCGATTATTCAAAGCTCCATATTATCGTTTAGGAAAATTACTTTAGCTTTCCAAAAGCTTTGATATTTGAGTCAGAATAGTACATTTGTACTTCGCGTAACTCATTAGCAACTTATTGACGATATCCTATGCCTAGAGGACGAAAAACTCGTTGTAAAACCACTGTTTTGGAAATTTGTGAAACTTTAGGCTCGAATAACTCCTTATTTCCTTGAGAACGCCCTATGCAACCGTCATCGTCCGATAGAGAATTTTTTTTCTCTATCGATTCGTCAAGCCTCCCAAGGTATCGAAATCATGCCAAAAAAGTTATGGCAAGAAAACTACAAACTTTGCTTTTTCTAATATGGGCGGCGCCGCGGCACAGGGACCAGTGGCAAAAGGCGCGCCCCGTACTAAAGTGCGCTTTGACGAGCCGTGTTCAGCTCATTTTAAAATTTGTCAAACGTTTTGCGGGTCGGGATTTTTAACGTTGCGGAACCAAATTTTCCCCCGTAAATTGATACGACCCTGTAACAAAAAAATAAACCTTTCTATGGAATTCTACATAGTTTTTGGCTCCAAAAGGCTTATAAAAATTTCATATAGAAAAATTTTCGAAAAATTTTGACTTTAAGTCAAAACTGTATGAAAAATCACAAAAAGGTCTTTATCTTCTCCGCTAACGTCTTAGCAATAAAAAAGCATAAAAACGGGCGCATTGGGTCCCCCCTAACCTCATTGAGGCGAGCGTTCGCGTGCCCATCACGTTGCCCCCACGTCTTCTTTTTTGAATATTTTTCGGGGCCTCGGAAGAGTGGGCCCGCGCGGGCCAAGTGTTATGCTATGGACGGCCCATTCCCCTATTCCAATTGCTGCCTTGGCCTCCAGCTTTCTTCAGAGGCCCTGGGATTTCTTCGCCTTCCAGAAGTTATGGCCATCAACCTTCAGGCCTCAGCTCTCTCCTTCTAGTGCTTAAATATGCTCAGTCTTTTGATAATCGCTTACAACTATCCGTTACGTTTGTATACCCTTAATACAGGCCTTTTAAAGGGCTGCCGACGGCATGTGTCGATCCCCCCTCATCAACATGGCAGTAGCCAACAGGGAGCCCCAGGAAGGCGCGAGACATTTCTTTCCGCGCGTAATCGATTGACTATGCCGTCGGCATTCCTTTAACGGTTTGTCGTGCTCCTAAAACCCGACCCGTAACATTTTCAGGCTGGGCGGCAAGAGACCGTTATGCGGCCGGGCGGATGCGCGCTTCACCCCCCGGCCATTTCCATGTGCCCGCTTTTAGACTGAGACCCCCGACGTCACCACCCACAACTAGCCAAGGCATGTCTTGTTAAGGAGAAAATGTTGATTCATTAATTCCGAAGTCATACTAACAGAGTGTAGGTGGACGTATCCGGCAAGCCGCCCGTCCATGTGCCCCGGTATCCACTCCACCATGTCTTCCAATGGGCAACTTTTGCGCCCGAAGAATGTCCCCCTCGGCGGCTAACACTTGTCTCAGGTATTCCAAAATTGTCGCCCAAATTAATACTGCTTTTCTAGCCCGCTAATTGATTGGTTTTTCTTTTAACAGTGCAATTAATTCCTAACTGTATCATTTGCCAGATGTGGTTGGCCTCGAAAGGACCCGAGTTGGAAAGAAATCGAGGAAATGTACACCGTACTCAACCGAAAACCCCGGCCACTTGCTAGCCGGAGCAGCTACGACTTGCAGCGGGGCGCCGGTGCGGCGTTTTCTTATTTGTCGAAACATATTAATTCCCACAAGCTAATAATGATTGGCGTCTAGCAGTTTCATCGATGACACAACGGCTGGACGAGACGGCCGCTGAATTGGAGCGTTTCGTTGCCGAGCTCGATCGTGGATGGAAGAGATCGCTGAGCTCGCCTGCGCTTGGCCCTATAAATAGTCAGTAACAATTAACTCTTAACAGCTAGACTGCCTAAACCTTAGTTTGAGATCCTAAGTTTTTGCGGAAACCACTAATATTATAATCAAACGACTTAACCAAATTAACCGGATGGTTCAGTTAGCCATGAATAAAACGCTTCTAAATGTGACAAAAAATGTGTGTTAACAGCATTAGCAAAAGCTCGAAAATCTGCGTTTCCGCTGACCGATTTGTCATGTCTTGCTTATTTCATAACAAACGAGGGATGGCTTCAGCGAGGAGAAGCCCTAGCCAGCATTGCCTTACCCTGGGCTATAGAATATGGAAAAAATAAAAATTCGTGGTACTCAGAAGGCTTGGTTCAATTTTTGAGATGCGAAAGATTAGTAACTTGCAAGGATGATCAAGGGGCGTCAAAAAGAAAAGGCACGAAAACCGCGAACGGAACGAATCAACACGTACCGCCAGAAGCTAAAATGTGGGCAGAAGAAATAACACAAGTGTAAGTGACGACCCACTACTACCGTTAAAGTTGAACATTTGAAAAAGTAAAAAACGAAGGCGAAAATAAGGAACTTAATGAGTTAGGGGGACAGTAGGGTATCAAAATGAAGCCCGGTGCATGCGCTATCAAACGCATCGTAAAATATTGATCGATTTAACTAGTGTCAATAGGAGCCTTCGGAAAATCCGGACTTTCGAGAAAGGGCGATTCCGAGTTGGCCATAGAAAGCCCATGCCCTCATAACTTTGTATTTCTTAAATGTAATGCTGTTTGCCAAAGCAATCAGGTTACAATTTTAACTACATCAACGTAAAACTTGCAGTTTCGGCCGACTTGGCAAGATGCCAAAAATGATCGGGATCTCAAAATCTGATGCTAAAAGTTAGAAGTTATCTCTTATTGCTAACTGCAAAATATCAGAAAGATCGGATGGTAAGGAAATTTATCTGGAATTTTTCTTCAAAAATTCCGGATTTTCCGAAGGCTCCTATTACGGCTAGTTAAATCGATCAATAATATTTAGATGCGTTTGATAGCGCATTCCGAGAGCTCATTTGATACCCTACATGTCCTCCTAACTCATTAAAAGTTCCATTATTTTCGTCTTCGAAGTTTTTTACTTTTTCAAAAATGTTCAAAACTTTTTAACGAATAGTGGTGGGTCGTCAAAAATCTTAAAAAACAAGTGATTTCTTCATGCCCAGCATATTAAGCATTCTGGCAGGTAACGATGGTTTGATTCGTTCCGTTCGCGAAATTCAGTGAAACTTCTTTTGACGCACCCTGTATCTAATCTTTCTAGGGCCCAAAACTACTTTTCAGAGCCCCCAGCTACAACCCCGCAGAATTGGCCGAGCTGACCCGTCTGACGCGTGAGGAGCAAATGTACAGGTTTGTGAAGTTGGAGAGCGTGTTGAAAACCACTTTAGACAAAAGGCTGAGCGTTTGACGGAAGAGCTGGAAGCACAGCGTAGTCGGCGTCACGGGTATATGTAAGTCATTTCCGGTTCTTTCCGACTTTTTCTTATGACAGTAAATTAAAAGTGAATATGTAATGTTTTAAGAGAAATGAACATTATTTGAAGCAGACAACTTCCAAAAAAAAGTTGGAAACATCGGAATTTCGTTAATTTATGTCCAAAAAATCTAGGTTGTTTTGCTTTTTCCTCCCCCGTACCCTCAAAGACCTCATTTCCTCCTTCCTATGGTTTTAATGCGGAACCTTTTGGAAATCATGATATTTTTGTTTATGCTACATTTTCAGCCCTTCCGCTGCGCCGGCACTACAAAAGAACGTGGACAGGTTCACCGGGCTGTTGAACGAGTACGGACGAGACGACAACATCCCCCTCACAATTCCAGACGGTTAGTGCATTGAGAGATTTGAGAAAAATGTGGCATACCTGGAGAGATTCACCGGCTTGGCGCGCCCTTACAGAGTAACATTCCTTTCAGAATCCATCGCCAATGCAGAACGGACGCCGAAGTGTTGGCCCCCCGCCCACCAATGTCCTCACTTGCACATGTATCTACAAATTCGCGGCTCACACTGAGCGGTTGGTTTGTTAGAATTTGTTAGAGGTTTTTGCAGCACTACGCCCCAATACCGCCTGCATTTAGTGAACTTCCAATGAATAAAGGAGACATCATTCGAATTCATCGCGAGATCGACACGAATTGGCTGGAGGGCGAGCGAAATGGTCGGGTCGGCATCTTTCCGCGCAGTTACGTGCAGGTGGGCCCAAAGTTCCCTCTTAGCGGTTCAGATCTCGTATTCGTATGTTTTTATACCATTCAAAAGCCCTCGAAACGGCGAGCAAACCACAGAATGCCATTTCTGAAATTATTTGTCAGCGTTATTATTGTAACGGGTATGAAGCACTTTGTCATTTTCACGGTTTTCCGTTCCTGAAACCCTTTACAGAAATCATGAATGAGAAAACGAAAAGCGCATTTTTTCCTAAAAAAAACCACCTTTCAGGTCGAGTCCGAATTCGAACGATGTCCAGTGAAATACCGTGCCGTCTACCCCTTCACCGCCCGCAACGCCAACGAGATGTCGTTGAAAGTGGTGCGGAAATTCTATTGTATTTCCTATTTTCCTGGAATTTAGGGCCAATTGGTGACGTTCCGACGGGAAATTGACACAAACTGGATGGAAGGAACGAATCATCTTGGCGAGATCGGCATCTTCCCTGGGTGCTATGTGCGAAGGTTCGTGATTCCGAAGCATTACTAAGCGCTAGTTTCCAGGCAGGAGGATACTGATATCGTGCCCACAATGGCACCTGATCGTCCCAAGACACCACATGCCACCCTACAACGGCGAATCCCGGAACAGCCGCATGAAAGGTACTTTTTGGGCACTTTTTCACCAACCATGTTTTCGGGTCTGTTTCGTTATCGGGGGTTCTAATTGACACAATAAACCGGACCCGTCAGAGCTATAAACTAATTAAATTCTCGAAAAATTATCGCGTTAAAAATATAATTTTTGATAACTGGAAATTACTAAAAATATATAAAGCGTTTATGTGCATTACCATGAAGTTTTGGCTGAAGGGAGCGTGCTTTCTCCGAGTCCCCCCCGCGCACGCACCAGAACCAATTCTTGTAGGACGCCCGACGAACCGACGCTTTGTTTACCACATCCGGTGGCCCAGGAAATGCCGGTGCTGCAGAATGGCTACGGCGTATCGAAAGAGGTTCCAATTGCCGTGTCTGGCTACTCAACAAATCATACGCTCCAAAATGGCATCGATCGCAGCCGAAGATATGATGATTACGAGTAAGTCGACGGAAATTGGCTATAGCCGATAGAAATGAAACTCTAGAAGTAATATTTTAGCGCCCACAACGATAAACTGAACGAGTGGAGCAACCGTAAGCAGGCACTTTCTCAACCCTCGGCGGCCCCGCCAGCCAGCCTTGTGCCCCAGAATTCTGAAACGTAAGCCCCTCACCGATTTGGTGACCCAAAATATTTCAGTTTCCGGGCCCTCTACCCGTATCGTCCGGCCAATGAGGACGAGCTGGAGTTGCAGGTAGGGCTTACTAGGGTCCAAATATTGATTTTTCGTAGATCATATTATCGAAAATCACTTTTGAAAAGCAGGGCTACGGAACTTGCCATGTAAATTCCGGAACTTTTCAGCATTTCGGAACAACGAATTTTCGGGAAAATCTGTACAGAAATCAAATTCTTTGTCCCCCTATACCGGAAAGCAACCGGAAACTGCTGCAACCTTTCAGGTGAACGATATTGTGTTCGTCGTCGAGAAATGTGATGACGGCTGGTTTATCGGTAAATTGACTTCGATAATTTGAAAGCATCCGACTTCAGGCACCCTGCTACGTACCGGTCAATTCGGCACGTTCCCCGGCAACTACGTCGTCAGGCATTGACCGCATTCTCTAGCGTCTATTCTAGTCATGCTTTTCACGCAACATGTGCTAATTTATTGTTCTCAATCATTCGGTCACCGGTCGAACATATGATACCCCCTTTCACCCATCTGATAACGATCAGAATCGCTTTATCTCGTTTTTTGAGAATTCAGAGAGTCGTTTGGATTGAATAAAGAATTCTATTGGCTTCGACCACACAATTCAGTAGACGGCCTGGAATTTGAGTTTTTTTTGTGCGGCCATGGAATTCGGAAGACGAGCTCTTTTTCGGCATGGCTTCGACCGGGCGAAAAGAAATAATTTACTGGGCGGATCGGGGCGGCAGAGGCGGGAGATTTTAATTGCAGAGGCAGGTGCACCGCCAGATACAGCTTCAATGATCGGCCACGGCTCGTCATCTCAATCGCAAACAGGCCTTGCCATTACTTCACTTATTTTAAATTTTAATTATTCGAGACCTTCGATCGATGCTTGCATTGCTTTGAAGGCTGCTTTGAAATTGTGGTCAGCCAATTCCGACGGCGAAACCCTTGTTTTTATGAGTCTTTGGCCAGGGTTTTTTATTCAGCGTTGTAGTTGAAAGGAACTGCGTACGGTCTGATTGTCCACAGGCTCAGCTCATTCTTTGATAGTTTGATATTTCAGGGGGATCCGACTCAAAGAAAAAAGAAAGTAACCTTTCAAAAAAATATAAATTGGGGTTGAAGATTGGGGTTTCTGACAATTTCAAATATCAATCCCTATCGCAATTTCCAATCTTGGCCGAAAGTCGCGCTATTTGTGCGAAAAAAACTATGTCAAGTTTTTTTCGTTTCTGAACCGTAGGGACATCGTTTAGAAATGGTTGCTTTATTTACATCCAAAGGATTTGATCCTAAGCGACAAATCCATTCTAGACGCGACGGCGAACCGGATGAAGAGGAGCCGAGGCCACGATGAGCGAGAATACGTCCATTAGAAACTGGTCGTCGCGGGCATTGCAGCCAGCCCAACAGGCGGATATTTGCCAGACAGCCTACGAAGTCTTCCAGCTGACGCTATCGATACATATGGTTGAGGTCAGCGGTTTTCCATCTTAATGTGAAGTGATTTAACAGATTGTGGTCAACGTCACGTGCATCATCGCCAACTCGGTGCCGATCGTCTACACGTTGCGGGAGCATTTATTCCATCCAAATTTAAGGTTCTTTACTTCTGACACCCAGGAAAACGCCCACAATTTCAGGATTTTGTTTGTGAATTTGTCGGTGGCGTTAATTGTGCGGGCATGCTTCATAATTCAACGATCAGTCGTCCATTGGATCGTGTACTTCACGTACCAAGTAAAATCCATCAGTTGTACCTTTCTTTTCATTTCGAAATCCTACTATATATAAAAAAATAGTGTTTGTGTGTGTGTGTGTGTGCCACTTTGCATCCACTTCCGTCTGTCTGTCCGGAGGATATTTCAAGAAGGGACGGGTATTAGGCTACGTATGATACGTCATTAGGTGCGCAATGGTCTAGGGATGACTGCCACAAATAAGCTTTTTAAAAATTGGCCATTTCGCTATTAAATTTAGGTTTTTGTAAAAACCTCTTTGTTAGGGATAATTAGCATAGAGCGGAACTGGGTGGTCGCCTATATAAAGAGGCAGAAAGGGTTCTGTTCATTTTTTTTGTTTTCTGAATGGAGGACAATTATGAAAGGGGACAATATTATGGGGTCCGAGACGGGGCCAGGGTTGAAAAGTCGCGAAGCGGCTCTTCAACCCTGGTTGTTATTAATTAGTAGTTTTCTGTTTATTAAATTTGCATTAATTTTCATCTCCTTCAGGACATTTGTGAATTGCCATTTGACGACGAAACTTGCTATCTGATGTCGACGCTCTACTTGAAGCCCGTAGAAGTATGGTCCAACCAAAAGCTGGCAACTATTGATGTTTTCAGGTGTTGATATTAACAATCTTCTCGATCTCGATCGAACGAATGGTGGCCGTCTACCAAACAGAATACGACAAGCTGGAGCGCAAGTGGATCGGGATTTTGCTGGTCGCCTTTAGTGTAAGTTGTGCTTTTTTTGTTGTGGATGTTCTAGTGGACGCCGTTGCCCATATATCTCTTCACAAGCGTTCTCGATTTCCTCAACTACCAAGAAGAGAGCGGAACCAAGTATATACAGCAGGTTGATAATGTCCAGCTTCTTCTAAAGAGAGCTTTGCAGGCATATTGCCAAGGGTCGATCAATCTCACACAACTGCAGACCATCTACAGCATCCACTACCCAGGATGCGCATTGGTGTTGATCATCCTACTCGTCCAATATTGGCGTGCAAAACAGAAATCAAGGTCAGTGTCAGGAACATGGGTAAACACAAAAAATTTATTCATTCCAAAGCAGTATTCAGTAATGGTCGGTGGACGAGTAAGTGGGACGCGAGTTAGTGCCGCTGCTGAAGACGGGGGCCAGTGCGATAGAGAGGGCTGAAAAACGGGGCATAATAATGGCACACAATAATGGTCACCCACATCAGATGGAGGGCCCTATTGTTGCTTAGCGGTCGTAGGCTCGGCCGGGGCACCGCCGCCTCCTTGCTGCTGGCGCTTCTGGATTTCTTGTTGCAGCTTCTCGATCAGGGGCATCAGCTGTCCCTCTTTGTGGGCGTAGGCCAGGCCGATGATGATGAGCACGAGGACGAAGAGCAGGGCAGACATCGTTGAGTCGGTGTGAAGAAATGAGATGCCTCTCTGTCGTGGAGGGCTTTTTTATAGTAGGAAACTCATGGAAATCTGGGTCAAAATCAGGGTGAACCTATTCCGGGGCATTCATTATTCAGATACATAGTTTTATGCAAATTACACTCTTCTGTTCCTTTAGGATGCTGCTCGTCTCACAAAAACACAACCTGTCCGCCCGATTCCAATCAAAGGAGACGATCAAAGCGGCACACATTGTCATGCCTTCATCTGTCGGCTTCTTGATCGTCTACGGTATGCGAAAACCCAACAAATCCCCCAAGGCATTTCCAGGCATCAATCTAGCAATTAGCGTCTATTATGCCACTGCTTCGGTGCCGGATCTGGCGCATCTGCCGAAAAAGGCGCAGATTATGGCAAGTTTATAATTTGGCCACCGGATGAAAACCTGAACACAGGAACGGTTCTTTCGCATTATCGGGGGCGGGGGATTTGTAGTTTCTATGTTTAGGAACAGTAAAATACACTATTTGAAAAATCGGATCTTAAGAGCAAAAATTTGGGTCCCCCTCGATAATACGAAAGAACCACAGGAACTTCTAAATCTGGTGATGCCATGCTATTTCGTCGTACACCCGTTAATCTTCATGGTGTGGAAGTGGAAGGTCTGTATTATTGAATGTGCCCTGGTACACCTTCCTAAATTATTTCAGCTCTACGGTGGCGTAAGAATCCAACACGGCAAGAAGCCAATCACCAGCGTGAAGCCAATGGCCTCCGACGAACACATAAAGGTAGGCCCCTTTTTAACTTTAGCATACTAACATTTCGTAGGGCGTGCTAGATATGTGGAACAGAACAGCGAAGGCCAAAGGAAACAAATGGAGGAAGACGATGAAGCAGGCGGTGCACGACGAGAAAGCGCGCGCCAAACAAAATACGGTTGTTGGACGGGCCGTTGGATACAGGGCCACCACAGCGCCTTGAACTCAATAAATTTATTTTAGAAAATAAACAGAGACATTATCAACAAATACGATCCTAAATGATGATGACCTAACAAATCGACAAATAATGTTTTCACGAAAATAAGAACTAACTTTTCATAATTATACGGCTTTCCTGAGAAGGAATAGGTCTCTAAGCGGCGTGTTCGAATCAGTGGGGAGCGGCTTGATGTCGAACAGTTTCTTGACTTTTGTGTGGCGGAGGAGATGGGCTTGCATGAAGCCTGTCGTTGACGCCACCAGCCAATACAACGGGATCACCTAGAAGGATATTTTAATTCTTACGCTCAATCTTGAAGAAGTCAACTATAAACTCGTAAAACTCACTGCCGGCAATTGTGTCATAATATACATTGCTGCAGCCATCATAAAGGCTAGTCCCGTATCATAGGTGCGGATAAGAAGTTTGTTATTCGAAGCCGCCGGATAAATCTTCCGTTGTGACTAGGCGACGATGAAAGTATACAAAACTCATCACATACCCACATATTCAAAAAGCCAATAAATCCGACAGCAACCGGCAAAACAAAGTACGGATCGGGCGCCAACATATCCGGGATCCACAATCCGCCGTGAACTGATGGAGCAAAGTCGCCTAAAACAAAATATCTAGCAAATGGTGAATGTGTTACCATTAATAATATTTCGGAGCGCAAAAGACGAGAAAAGCCAGACCGGCACGGAACAAATCTTGAGATTCTGGATTCTTGATGCTTGCAGCTTATGTTCGGCCAGATAAGCCGGGACGCTCTCTTTGATCTAGACAAAAGTAATTTAAAAAACTTCGAGGCTAGCCCAGTCGCCCTAAACTTACCACTTTATCCGCGTGTGCCAAAGCGTCCGGATTGTCGGTTTTCAATTTCACATTTTTATTTTCTTCAACCACACCGACACGGTAAATCGCGGATACTTTCTAAAAACAGTCGAAAACATAAGTGTTTGTACCTTGAAAATCTCTCTTGTAAAAAATGTTTGAGCATGGATGCGCTTGGCAAATAGCTTCTCCGCGTAGACGTGAAGCGGTGCAGTCGCCAGACGCAAGGCAACAGCCGATAGGACAAATGTCCCCGCCCATGGGACACCGGTTGAATGGATTCCTACAAAATTAACATTATTTCCATACAACTAGCAGCTACCTTCCATTGCCCATTGTATCGTTTGAGTTATATTACTCTCTGCCGCGTAGCTAAACACCTCCGAAATGACTGGCGGTAATTGGCTGGCATCGCGTTTTTGGCCGCAGTTCAGACTTCGGCGCTCGTGGACTAAAGTAAATTCGTAATACCCAAAAACGACTAGGATTTGCCTGACAAGAAGCTTGCCGTTGAGCATGAAGGACCGGCCAGACGAGCCGTCCTCAGTAATAACATCTAGAGTCTTCAATGGTATCTAGCGGCGTAAAAGTCGATCAATACACAGGCTGCAACTTGTATAGAAGGTAAAGACCCGTGGTGAAAAATATTTATACATGCTGGAATTGAAATATCACAGGCGAACGGCATATCAGCGTCGAGTTTATTAATTTCCAAGTCGTTGTCCTGCTCCGCCAAAAACGTTCGTCTTCTTTGGCTTGGGTTCGGAGAGTCGAGGCGCAGAGGGGCCAGCTTCACGGCCTTGGAACAGATTGGTGGCGACCGGGTTCTGAAAACGAAAGATATTGCATCAGAAAGTCTGTAAAAACCTGTGGGCTTTCTCGGCTGCTGTACTGTTGAAACACTGTCATCCCGATTACGAGCAAAGCCCCCATTGGACCTATCAAGAAGAATGCAATTACTGCGGCCACCAGGTGCATCGGCTGGAATTCGAAGCCGCCGACCGAGAAATTCTAAAAAAAACAGTTGACGGTCCAAAGTCTGCATCACCTGAAGCCCAAATTCATTTAGTCGTTGATTTCCCGCATTCCATACGGACGTCAAGGGATTTGCCTAAAAAATTGGAAGAATAAAATAGGTAGAAAATGAAACCTGCGCTTGTTGCTGTGGTAAGCGTAAGTTGGATGCGGGCTGTCTTCCTCCATCATCAGCGCCGTTTCGTAACACGCGGACCATCTAGAACGGCAAGTTTGAGCATCACTGAATGCTACTTCGCCTGTACATTCCTTCCGAGCATGTTTTAAGATATCCATAGTGCATACTTTCGTGTCAAACTGCTGCTATCAATCAATAGAATTTTATTAGCACAAATCAAAGACCCATAACATTCAATGCCCCCGACCTGACTAGTGCAACATCAAGCAACCAAAATAAATGAGCTGATCCGAGTATACAAGTAGGAGTTGATAATACAAATGTACAATTATTAAGGCAAATGAAGTTATTTTTCAGTGGAATCTTCTTCGTCTTTGGCGACAGTACTGTTCACACGCTCGATGATGGAGAGGACGACTTCATTGAAAGCTTCAGGGGCATCAGCATACAGTTGGTGGCCAGCACCGCGGATGATCTAGAATTCTACTTGATGGGAAATCAGAGCATCACTAACCTGGATATCGACGTAGCCATTTCTCGTGGCTTGGATTTCGAAAGCCGGCTGCGGATCGATCCAACTTTTCGATCCATAGATGAAGCTGATGGGGACATTCTCGCTGATCCCGTTGAACCTGAAAAGCTGTTTGGCGACGTAATGAATCAAATACCTGCGGATCATCGGCCGCTTTGCCCAGCCAAAAGTATGCGTCATCGCCTTGAAGGCAGTTTCACCGGTCGGCGGCTGCGCATTGCAATGGTAAATGTAGGTGTAGATGTCGTCCGGGTTGGCGCCTTTGTAGCGAAGGCTCAAGTCGGGTCGCAGTTTCTTCACGAGCGTCGGCCCTGATAGATCTGAGTCAGAGAAACCATCATAAAAGATACCGTAAGGCCCCATAACCCTCAATAGAGCCAAGGGGTTGAAGTAGGACAACACACCACCGACGAAATGCATCCAAGGATATGGTTGGATCTGAACGATTAATGTGAAAATGCGAAATGAGCGCCGTACCTGTTTGTCGTTCGGAGGAGGCCGCTCCGGAAATCCCCAAGGATCCGCAAGGATCAGATGCTTGACCCGAGATGGATGCTCAAGGGTGTAGGAAGAAGCCAGGTAACCACCGAACGAATGGGCTACCAAAGTCATTCGTTCGATCTTCATCTCTTTTCGCCAATCCTCAATAGCCTCCACCATCTCGAGTTCGGCCAACGTTTCGTCGTGTGAAAACAGCGGCCGAGAAGACCTTCCAAACCCTAATGGAATCCGGATTATTTAGGACTGTGATATTTACCGAGCAAGTCAAACGCATGCACATTGTGCTGCTTCGCCAAGGAAAGTAGCTGCGCGCACCAGACCGCCGAGCCCGCTGCGAAACCATGCACTAGGACAATCGGATCCTAAACATCAAATTGAAGAAAGGTTCGATACCTAACCTGATCAACTGGCTTCTCCTCGGCTTCTAAGGAAATCGTGTAAATCTCGCTTTGTTTGAAGCGAATCTGAAAGCAGCTTAGATTAATAAATGGGCGACAGTATTACCGGAACGAATCGTGACACAATGCGGTGGGCCACAGCGGAAAGCAAGCTATTTTCGGCCTCCATCAGTTTTCGTAGCGAATAGTAACCGAATCCAAAAAAGCCCCTGAAAAGGAAAGAATAAACAGTGACGAATGTCGGCAAAGTGCTTACCTGGAGCCCTTCTTCTGAGCGGCGACCGCCGCCACAACAGGCGAAATGGTTGGCGCTTCTGCTTCAGCCATTGCGAAGAATTTAGTAGTTACTAAATGAACGAGTAGAATCGTGGGGGGGGGGGGGGGGGGCAAAGGGGGGGGGCCAAGGGGGGGGGGGCCGGGGGGGGGGGGGGGAAGGGGGGGGGGCGGGGGGGGGGGGGGCGGCGGCAAGGGGGGCGGGGGGGGGGGGGGGCCGGGCGGGGGGGGGGGCTGGGGGGGGGGGGGGAAGGGGGGGGGGGGGGGAGAGGGGAAGGGGGGGGGGGGGGGGGGATTTTGGGTTTTTTTTTTTTTTTTTTGGTTTTTTGGTGGGGTTGGGGGGGGGGGGGGGGGGTGTGGGGGGGGGGGGGGGGGGGTGGGGGTTTTTTGGGGGGTTTTTTTTTTTTTTTGGGGGGTTTTTTTTTTTTTTTTTTTGGTTTTTTTTTTTTTTTTTGGTGGGTTTTTTTTTTTTTGTTTGGGGGGGGGGGGGGGGGGGGGGTTAAATGGGGGGGGGGGGGGGGGGGGGGGGGGGGGGTGTGTTGTGTGTTTTTTTTGGGGGTTTTTTGGGGGTTGGGGGGGTTTTTTTTTTGTTTGGGGTTTCCAAAAGGGTTTTTTTTTGGGGGATTTGGGGGTGGGGGGGGAAGGGGGGGGGGGGGGGGGGGGGGAGGGGGGGGGGGGGGGGGAAGGGGGGGAAAGGGGGGGGGGGAGGGGGGGAAAAAGGGAAAAGGAAAAAAAGGGGGGAAAGGGGGGGCGGGGGGGGGGGGGGGGGGGGGGCGAACGAAGACAGGCGTCGAAAAAAAGGGGGGGGGGGGGGGGAAGGGGGGGGGAAAAGGACTTTTTTTTTTTTTTTTTTTTTTTTTTTTTGGGGGGGGTTTCGGGGGGGGGGGGTTTGGGGGGGGGGGGGGGTTTGGGGGGGGGGGGGGGGGGGGGGGGGGGGGGGGTGGGTGGGGGGTGTGGGGGGGGGGGTGTGTGGGGGGGGGGGTCGTTGGGGGGGGGTTTTCCCCCCCCCCCAAATCGTGATAAAAATTTTTGAAATGTGTAAATGTGTTCCGAAATGCGAAATCAAAGAATACGACGAGTTACTAATTCCGTATTTTGCTAGAAGCGAAATGCCTCGTCCACCGTAAATCGCCAAACCCTCACTTTGTTGTATTATTTCGTTCCGTGCTCTTGAATTGAAAAATCGCTGGATCATAAAGTTTTTGGGAGGGACTAAAGTGTGCTCGCGACAGGGGTTTGCGTCATTTATATAGCAGTTTCTTTGATTTCTGGTTGTCAGCAAGTGTTTTCGTGATTTGGGTTGTGCCTTGTGCTCTCACCAAATGAAATACCTCCCGTGTCGGCCAGCTGCCATTCAAGCGCCGCGCTGCGAGACCCCGGCTTTTCGTGTGTAATTTTCCCGGACTTTCCATGGCGCCTAGAACATGCGAAACGTTGAATTGTGCTCTTACTGGGTGGTTTACCCCCTTAGTTTGTGTAAATAGCCTTACATAAGCTTAAAATGGTTTTAGGCGTGTGTTAAATCTTCTTCAATATGATGGTATCGATTTGGACTGCGCATGCATTTTTAAAGAGCGCGTGTTTACTTCTAATTCCACAACGTTTTGTACTAATCGCTCGATTTGCCGTTTTATGACCCTAATACTGGAGTAATGATCTGATATTTAGAACCCGGCGGCAACAAAGATGGCGCAGAAGGTGCCCAAGTCTGGCTATGCCCGGTTTTTGAAGGAAGGCGCGCAGGTGTTATTTGCCTTGGTTTCTGAACACTATTTTTTTAGCATTTCAAAGGCACCGATGAGGCCGTCGTGCGCAACATCGATGCATGTGTTGAGCTTGCTTCGCAGTTGAAGTCAGCTTATGGCCCAACAGGTGGGAAATTGTTCGATTCACAACGTGTTCCTTAGGTATGAACAAGATGGTGATCAATCACATCGAAAAGTTGTTCGTCACCAACGATGCGGCCACGATTTTACGGTAAATTGTTGCTATCCTTACTGATCGGGTTTTAGTGAACTCGAAGTGCAACATCCTGCAGCCAAGATCATCATCATGGCCTCACAAATGCAGGTTAGCAAAGGTTCGGCGGCACCTATTGTGGATTTAGGAAAAACAAATCGGTGACAACACCAACACCGTCGTCATTTTCGCCACTGCCCTCTTGGAGCACGCAAACGAGCTGATTCACATGGGATTGGCACCTCAAGAGATCGCCTCCGGCTACGAGATGGCGACGGAGAAGGCTCTGGAGATCCTCGAAGAGTTGGTTGTCGACACCGCCACCGATTTCCACGATATCAATAAGGTCGTCATTTAGTTATACATGGAATTTGTTCGTTGTAGGTGAAGCAATACATCCGGTCTGCCATCACCTCGAAGCAGTATGATAGCGAAGATATAATTGCTGATTTGGTTGCGAAAGCTTGCGGTATTGTTTATGGTCTCATATTCATGGTTTTTTTTTATAGTTTTGACGGTCCCCAAGAACAGCCAGAACTTTAACGTTGATAACATTCGTATTTGCAAGATCCTCGGCTCGGGCGTATCAGCTTCACAGGTGTGCCTTTTGATGTCCGTATAGCTGTTGTATAGGTGATGAATGGCATGATCTTCAAACGTGGTTCGGAAGGCGAAGTGAAGAAGCAGACCAACTGCCGCGTGGCGGTCTTTGCCTGCCCATTTGACCTGACACAAACTGAAACCAAGGTTGATTAATGTCTTATCTTTTTTAATTAATTTTAGGGGACCATTCTTATCGAGAATGCCGATGAATTGATGGGTTTTTCGAAGGGCGAGGAAGAGGAGGTCGAGAGCCAAATCAAGGTAATTTTAATGCTTTAATTTGACATTGCCAATTTATAGTCTCTTGCTGATGCCGGCGTAAACGTGGTCGTGGCCGGCGGGAAATTCGGAGATTTGTACCTGCATTTCCTAAACAAGTACAACATCATGGCCGTTCGTCTGACATCTAAATTTGACCTGCGTCGCTTGAGCAAGACTTTGGGCGCCCAGGCTCAGGCCGCTATCGTAGGGGTTTCTTGAAAGCATAATTGCCTCAATTGAATAGTGCACACCAGCTGTGGATCTCCTCGGGCAGTGCGATGACGTGTTTGTGAAGGAGATTGGGGACGAGCACGTCACCGTTTTCGACAAGAAGAGTGAAAAGGTCCGTGATTCTAACCCGGCAATGACAATTAATTTTAGGGCCAAGTAGCCACAATCATTATCCGTGGATCTTCACAATCGAGAATCGACGATGTCGAGCGGGCTATCGATGATGCGGTCAACACTTACAAGGCACTGACGAAAGATGGCAAGGTATTAGTAAATTCATCTTCTTCATTCCGATATCACTGTAAGGGTCAAGCTATTTCATCCTTTTCAGGTGGTCGTTGGTGCAGGCGCTGTCGAAATTGAGCTCTCGACCCGAATTGCCAAATGGGGCGAGAAACTATCTGGACTTGAGCAATATTCCGTTCGCAAGTTCTCCACTGCGTTGGAAACGCTACCGAAGTGCTTGGCCGAGAATTCTGGATTCAACGTGAGCCTTGTCAATTGTGCGCCTTAATAATCAGTTGCTTTAGGCGAATGAGCTATTGATCAAGCTGAACGCTGCTCACGAGACCGGAAATCCGAATGCCGGAATCGACATCCTGGACAAGGATGTTCTTTTGGATGCCAAGGCTGCGCACATCTATGACCTCTATGCTGGTATTCATCATTTTTGCTTTGTAGCCAGATTTTTAGGGAAGCGCAGCGCGATCAAGTTGGCTGCAAACGCTGCATCCACGATCCTGAGAGTCGACCAGATCATCATGATGAAGCAGGCCACTGGGGGTGTCAAGCCCCGTGCTCCCAAGCCGCAAGATGACGAAGATGGCGATGGCATGGCTTAAAGCAGCAATTTTTGAGCTTGAATAGTATACATCGGCTTTAATATCCGAGCGCCTTTTCACAATATCCTTTCTTTGCCACTGTTCTCATACCGGATGATCTGAATGGAATTTCGGTTTTGTCGCTTGTTGCACCGCGATTTGTGCCACTCTTTCAATTTGTTGATTTTGTTGCGCTTTGTTTTTTTCCAGTAATAAACTTTTCATCCCGTATTGTCGTACCGAGAACAACGTAGAATCCGCAACACTTATCTAATAAACAGTCAGTGAATAGCACACACAATAGTGTTTGGTCGATAGTATTGTGGTTCCAGGATGAACGATGTTGTTGCCGGGATTTATGCAAGCGGTGGTGACCATCGAACTCAGCTCGAACAGTAAATTAAAATCGTTCACTTTCATTGTATTCAGATTGGCGTCGGTGCTAAAGACCGTATATAACGGGGACGCGCCAGATGCAACTAACGTAGAGCAACTCCTTAACCTTGTTGAAGCCGGTATATTTTTGTTAGCTAAGGTGCCACCGGTCTGTTCTAGTCAGCAAGGAAAGCGGGAGTATGGTCGTATCGCGGCAGTTCCTCGGACTGATAGATCAAGCATTGGAAGAACGCCCGCCCAGTGCAAAGGTGGAAACATGGGCGCCTACCTATGATCTGTTTTCAGAAGCTTATTGAAATCGTGGAGGGCGTGCTGAACGTTACGCAAAGCCGTGCGATTTCCTATGAAGAACAGGTGCCTTACCAAAGCCATTTTTTTATTCCTTTCGAGGTGACCAGTCTACGTCTGAAGCTTGCACAGGCTTTCGAACGTGAGTCGCAATGGACAGACGCTGCCGCCACCCTGCTGGCGATCAACTTGGAGAGCAGCCAGAGGTTGGCATTTTCTAGAAACTTGCTAGCGCTTCGGAATTCTATTCGAGGACATTCCGTTGTTTTCAGGGTCCATCCTGCTTCGTTCAAGATGGAAATGTATCTACGAATGGGCAGGCTTTATCTTGAGGGTGACGCTGTGGATGATGCGGAAGCGTCCGCGAACCGTGCTAGCCTGCTGCAAGCGGAGGCTAAAGATGAAAAATTGAATGTGCAGCACAAGGTATACTTTTTCCTGCAACACGATCCCCGTCTTCAGGCGCTAATGGCACGTGTGAATGATCGGCGCGGCCGTTTTATCGAGGCTGCTCAACGGTACTATTGATCGAATCCATATTTTTTTGTAGCTACTTCGAGTTATACCAATGCCCTGTGCTGCCTCCTAGTGATCAAAAACATGCTCTCACTGCCGCGATGACTTGTACGATCTTGGCACCTCCTGGTCTGTTGCAATATTTCTGTGAATCTAAGCGTTTTAGGAAACTCCCGCACCCGCTTACTTGGGACGCTGCGAAAGGAAGAGGGAGCCCGGTTGATCCCGTGCTACAATCTGTTGGAAAAGCTCTTCTTGGAAAGATTGATCAAAGTCGATGAAGTAATCTTATCATATCTTGAGCAGTTTTTAACGATGTATTCAGCTAGCAGAATTCGAACGAACCCTGACGCCATGGCAACAACACGACGAGAAGGGAGCCCCGATTATTCGTGGTGTTATGGTAGAACACAATATGACAGCTGCCGGCCAAGTCTATTCGAACATTTCATTGAAGACCTTGGCTTCACTACTTGGTGTCAACGAGCTTGAGGTGATCGTTTTAACGCCCGCCAACCCCCCACCCAAAACAAAAGCAAGAAAAACCATAATAGTACCGCCACGCCTGAGAATCCAACAAAGAAGGGCGAAAAAAGTTTGGAAAGGACCCAGAACGCAAGTACAAAAGTACCACACAATTAGAGATACACATTTAACGCCCTAATTAAGCATTTTTTCAGGCTGAGAAAGTGGCGGCTCGTATGATTGCCTCTGACCGACTCAACGGAACGATCGATCAAATCGACCAGATTGTCGTTTTCAACGGTATTTTTTTTAATTGCAGTGTTTGGTAGTGGATGTGGGGATCGAATTGTGTGTCAGGAAGCTTTTATTGTTTGCTGGTCAATCGTGAAGGCGCTGCTTCTTCACAACGGGAACAGGAAAAATAGTAGCAGTTAAATAGGAATCCGTGGGTTCGCTGTCGATATGGGGCCGCTCTTTTATCCCTGGTTCATCATGCGCACAGCCTTGGCGGTGGGGCGGAACACGTCGAAGGTGCACACCATCTCGTCGGTGATCTAAAGTATGGGCCTATGAGTGATGGGGGAAAGCAGCGCTACCCGCATCGTGGCGGCCGAGTTGTCGAATTGGCCGCAGTAGTGCGGGGCCGAGAAGATGGTGACCATCTTGCGGTTGGCGAAGAACTCGTAGCCGTCCTGGACGACTTGATGGGCACGGGCGACGAGGTCGAGGTTCATGCGCTCGCAGAAGTCGACGACGACATCCTGTCCGAACACGTACGACACGCCGCGGGTGTTGGCTTGCCAGCCCTGGAATGTGATGCTCTTTTGAGTGTTGCTAGATGCACTACCTTGACCCAGTTGTCGGGGTCGGCCCACAGTAGGTCGATTCCGAGCGAGGGGTTCGGGGGGTCCGACGGGCGGCTGAGGTTCCTCAGCTGGTCGAGGTTCTGGATCTGCGGAGACAGACCGCCGTGCATGCACAGGATCCGGCCACCGACAAGTCCGCACAGCGGCATCCAGTTGAACGTATCCTGCATCAACCGTCCTCATCACGTCGCGAAAAATTACCTGGAAGCACTGCCACAGGCGCTGACTGCGGTAGCGGCGGTTGCACTCCTCGTAGAAGCCGTACACGCGGTTGATGGCCGGGCACTCGTGGTTGCCGCGCAGCATGAAGAAGCTCTCCGGGTACCTATTTTTGGGATAAGCAGGATAGCAAAAGCACACTTGATTTTGTAGCAGAACATGAGGCAGATCGTCTCAATGTTTTGCCGGCCACGGTCCACATAGTCGCCCAGGAAGAGGAAATTGGTCTCGGGCGGGAAGCCGGTCTTGTCGAAGATACGCAGGAGATCCGAATACTGCCCATGGATGTCACCGCAGATGAGAATCGGCGGGTCGACCTCGATCAGCGACGGCTGGTTCATGAACACGTTCTTGGCGATGCCACACAGGGAACGGAGCTCGTCTTCAGAGACCTGAGAATGGCCAGATGGAGCGTGGGCCGCGGAAACTTACGCAGGACGTCAGGCGACCGCCAGCCATGCCCACGTTGAGCAGGCGGCTCATCATGTCGTCGATGTTGAGCGCGGCGGCCATCTTGCGAGGACGGTTTTGCGGAAATGGGTACCTAGCGTTGACCGGGGCTTTTCTAGTGGGATTGGCATGCAAATCAGCAAAAATTTCCGGATCATTTATTATTCATTCAGATTTTCCAAAAATAATTCAATATTGAAATTTCAGGCAAGACACCGATCGAGGAATGGGACGACCAGATTGAAATCTTCTGTCGCCAGGTCGAGCGAACGGCTGAGCTGATCATCGCGAGGCACCCGGAACTTGACGACATCTAGCTGAGCAGCGCCTGCACGCGATTCCGTCCTTATCCACTGATCTCCGCATAACCGGTTGCCTCATTTTAAAAAGCCTTTGTCTTTGCTTAGACATCGCTCCCTATGAGAATAAGCCGGTATTTGTACACGCGGTCGAATAAAGGGAACCAATTTATTCAAGCCTCGAATCAAATTGAGCGGATGACGCATGGGATTATTGCACACGCATTGTTAACCAAAAATCGCACGCCACGGTTTGAGCGTAAAGAGGATGCGTAGGGCGTCGTACACTGCTAGCCGGCCTGAGCTTGCTGACAGTCAACTTCAAAGACAGCCCGTTGCATATAGTACCTGAGGGAATAATTTGAACGATTTTTTAAGGTTTAGGTTTTGTAACCTGGGCTAGAGTTTACTTTATCCCGCCCCCAGCGAAATGTTGCCAAAATTTTCGGGATTTCGCTATTTTGGCGGGATTTTGACCACGCCATTAGACAGAGCATCAAAAAATATACTACGAGTTTTAAATACAGACCAAAATAAAGTAATATAAAAAAGTTATAGCGGGAAACCTTTTGGGAACTTACGGCTGGGGGATAAGCTAAAGTCTAGCCGTAATCTGCCACTTTAATTGCAATTGCTCACCAAACCCCATCGCGGCAATCGAGTGGGGCGGTGGTGACCTGTTCCATTAGCTGATTCTCAACGGGACCGCCCTGTTCGTAGTTGAACTATATTTTTTATAAATGCTCCTAGCGGCCGTATTTCCCTACCTGCATAAAAGACACGAATCCATCGTCTCCATTGCAGATGGCTGTTAGATGGATGCAACCGTCGGCGCTAGTGGTTGGACCGCTGAAGGAGCTGATGATATATGATGATGAACCAACCTGAATGATGAATCGATAGAGCCGGTTCGGTTTCCCTGGGCTGGGGTGAAGGTAATGTCGTCCGTCGAGCATCCGGCACAACCTAAAGGTTTCTATTAGAGGTTGCCCGGCTATCTGTCTTGTGAAATTGACGTTTTTTCTAGGGATGCCGTAGTTTTTGTCAATCTAGCGAAACTGGCCTGTTGCCACTGTTGTCGTGGTGGTCGGCGCCACGGTCGCTGAAAATTGAGATTTTATCGAAAAATAACTTTAGCAAAATGTTAAGATACCCAAACGGCAAGCAAAGTTTTAGGGGGAAATCCGTAAACGGTTCTATAGGATTCGCGGGGGGAACTTAATATTTTCCGAACAAACCTAAATTTTTTATAAATAAGGCATGCGTTTCTAAATTTTTTGCAACTATTCCTAACCATAAAACTATACAAATTTTAAGTAAAAATTCATTTAGAGTAGAAAAATTGGTTGTTTTCGACCCAAAATGACCAAATTTTCGACCTTTTCATGTATCTAAATTTTTTGAAAGTTTTTCTACTTTAAATATAGTTAAAACTTACTAAGGCAATTTAAAAACACTTTATATTTGATTACTAGGCCAACCCGAAACGCTAAGAGAAAATGGTTCCCCCGCGAATCCTAAAGAACCGTTTAGCTAAACGTTGAGATACGCAAACGGCAAACAAAGTTTTAGGGGAAATCCGTGAACACCGAAATGCGTTAAAGCAGCGTTAAAATGGTGTGCAAGTCAATAAAAACGTGCTGATTTTAGGGCAACAAATTGACGGAGCAAACTTTTCTTACTTGTCGTGGTCGGCACTGAAAATGAATAATGTGATCAGGTTTGAAAAGGCTGTTTTCAGGCATTGCATGATGAATTTACCGGTTGAGGGTACTGTCCGGATGCAGGTGTCGACAAAATGAAGGGAAAGCAGCGGGACTAGGGCCCGCAGAGTGCCCGTCCATCGCATCACTTCGTCTCCGTGTCGTCGTGATAGCCCTAGCCGCTTTTGGATGGATTCTAGGAAGGTTTTTTAGGTTTCGATAATGCAATTTCGAAAAAATCGAACATCACGGCAGACTTTCGGAAATTAGGCAGAGTAAGAAGCCGTCGACCAGCGAAACACTGGTCAAAGCCCAGCTGGATTTTAAGGGGGAAGGGATTCCGCTTCGGGGCGATAGAAAGTTCTCTAAAAAACTGTAATGAGGACATTCTGTGCGCGGAGTCTGTGATCTATCGCCGCCCGCTTGGTGTTCCCTTGCTCGGGCTGAATTACGGTAAACGGCCACCGGGGAGCAGAGCAAGACACAGCCCTTGAATGGCCTTGGTCATAATTTGTAGAGGTCTCCTAAAAGGTATTGTAATTACCGGCACCGTTTGGCAGCGACTTTCTTTTCAGGTAAGTCTTAAAAGCCCTTCCAGAAAAGCATAAAAGGAGTGATTTTTAGGTGATCTTGGAATTTTGTTATGTCAAATAGCTCATAGCCCCATCTTTCAAAAATTGCTGAAGGCACCGGTTTTCAAGAAAATTCGCTCTGGAAGGGCCGATTTTGTCCAGTTTTGACCCCCACTTAACAAAATGCTAACTTTGAGAAACTGATTCTCGCAGACCGTTATCGTTCAGCAATTTTCGAAAGATGGGACTTGGCCAGAATTTCAAGCTCTATCCAATGAGCTATTTCACATTACAAAATTCCAAGAACACCCAAAAAACCAATCCTAGTTAGAGGTGTTTGAGGAAGGAGTATGGTCATAAGGATCAGCCTTTGGTATGCGCACACAATTAATAGGCTAATTTGATGCGGCGGACGTGTGCTGACGGAGGATAATTATTCTATCGGGTCATCTGGGAAAGGATCACGAATTTCGCCCTGCTCAAAAAAGCTAATGGCCTCAAGAGAACGAGCGGAACTGGGATCGCTACCGTAGTTCGTCTAAAATCAGGTTAAATGGCTTTAAAATTCAAGAAAACGCAAATAATGGTTATTTTTATGCTTTAGCATCGGCCCCGAGTCGTTTTTAGCCGTTTAAAAGTCAAAAATTGATCAAATTAGCCGAATCGATCACTTTTACATTCAAATTCGGTAGAAATTCGAAGATTTTGTTCGATCTAGCCTATATAAGCCTTTGGGATGTGATTGAAAAAATAGAACCTCGGGTTATATCGGAGGAAGTACGGTACTTCTGCAAACGTGAGGCATTAATAAGCTGGGCAAGCGCATCTGAAAGGCGGCGCGCACTTTTAGCGCGGGATCCCGTTGTGCGCGCCATTATCGGCAAAAACGTCGTCGAAATAAGTTTCTAGTCCGGTTGCGCAACGTAAAAGCTTCTCTCGGGCATCAGGGCATCCCCTGTTGCGCACATCGGCGCCGGTCGAAACGGAGTGGTCGGGGGTCTTGAAAATGGGCACAATTAGGCGTCACCGCCGCCGGGGGCAGAGGGGAGAGCCGGCTCTTGCTCAGGTGGAAAAGGTAGGCAGGAGCAACCCTCGCGTGCCGCAGTGGATTCAGGGGCAGCCGATGATTAGCTTTAGGATTTGGCGAAACGCGTGTTGCCATCAGCTTTGAGGGAACGGCACGCAAAACTGAACCGAAGAATTGACGGTCGCGGTTCAGATACACTATAGGGGGAAGAAGAATGGAGCCTTGGAGGATGAGGCTGAAAATTGGCGAAGTCGTGATGAAAAAGTCAGATTTTTGCCGGAAATGGGATAGAAAAATGAAGGCAAAAAAATGTCGTATCTCGAAATCGTACGAAAATCATCTTTTGCAGAATCCCGCTTTGAGGTTTTCCAAAATAGGGTCCTTTAGGATTCGCGGGGGGGACCAACTTTTTTCGCCGCAAGCCTACATTTTTTATGAATAGCGGATGCGTTTCTAAATTCTTTTCAGCTATTCCTAATCATAAAAACTATACAAATCTTAATTAAAAAATGTCAGTTTAGGTCGAAAAATTTATTTTTTCGATCTAAAATGACCCAATTTTCGACTTTTTCAAACATCTTTCAACTTTTTTTGATTATTTTTCTATTTTAAATATAGTTAAAACTTAAAAACAATTTAAAAACATTTTCTGTTTGATTACTAGGCCAGCCGGGACCGCTGAGAAAAAAAATTGGTCCCCCGCGAATCCTAAAGAACCCAAATCGGCATATTTCATATATCAGGTTGGAAGGTAAGTCCTGTCGCCGAGATTTTGACAGGCTGGCTAAAATCGTAGATAGCTCCATTCTGGACATGTGATATGTCATTTTGTAGCACTCGGCCTGAACCGTTTCGGGAGGTGGGTCCTAGGCCGCCAACTTCAAGGAGGGCCGAGATACAGGCCGAAGAAGTTTTTCACAAAATCACCAAAAAGTGTTTTTGCAAGTTATCTCTGCATAGAGTTATTTGCATGCGATACGTTTAACGCCAATCGATAGCTTCTCGAGGAGTAGATATCGATAGATTTTCAGATCATCAAAATTGGACAATGGATGACCAAGATATGGGCCCTTGAAATTTAGCCCATTCCTTAGAACTTTTCCCGAAATCCCATACATTTGCTCAAAATACGCTGGCCGCGTCAAAAAAATAAAGCGGCAATTTTCGGCCCCTGGCTCTGAAATGTATCGGAATGTATGGGATTTCGGGAAAAGTTCTAAGGAACGGACTAAATTACAAAAGGCCATATCTCGGCCATCTTGTGTCCAATTTTCATGATCTCAAAATCTATCGATATCTACTCCTTGAGAGCTATCGATTGGCGTTAAACGTATCGCATGCAAATAACTCTATGCAGAGATAACTTGCAAAAACACTTTTTGGTGATTTTGTGAAAAACTTCTTCGGCCTGTATCTCGGCCCTCCTTGAAGTTGGCGGCCTAGGACCCACCTCCCGAAACGGTTCAGGCCGAGAGCTACAAAATGACATATCACATGTCCAGAATGGAGCTATCTACGATTTTAGCCAGTCTGTCAAAATCTCGGCGACAGGACTTACCTTCCAACCTGATAGCTACAGTACCTGCCGCAAGCAAAATCCCAAAAGTGAAACTGCTGTAGTAATTGTAAAATGTTGTATAAATGACAATTCAGGTTTCAGATGGCAATTGTTAGCCGTAGAAGAAAGATGGCAGAAATGGCAGCACCGACCACATTGGCGAGAGTGGATCAAGGGTCCAGCGGTCAGCGACAGCGCCAACTTCAGCCAATTAGGTGTAGAGGGGGTGTGACTGCGAAAAGAAGCTCTGAAGGAGGCGGACGGGCCATTTTTGCCTCCACTGACCCGACCGGCTTCGCGATGAGCCAACATCCCATTCAATGAGGTTCGGGGGAGGTTGAATGGCTGGTTTGCACCTATTATTCCATGTGCCCGAGTTTTTCGGGTTGTCCGGGGCCGAATTAAACGCGTATATAGTGTGCGCAAAAATGTGACTCTTCACACGTCAGCTTCTGCCATCTACTCACAAGGAAGCGTTTTTAGTGGCCATCGTGTTTCTGTACAGGACCACCCCTAACCGGTGCGGAATTTTGCGCTGGTGCGAGTCAGTTTAAAAAAACCGCGAAACGTTAAGATTCAAAAAGTTATGAAGCTTTTTGTCGGGAGCAAAAGGCAAAAATTTGCCGAAATTGGACCATTTTGGGCCCTTTTCGCACTTAAGAGGAAGAAAAGGGAAAGAGAGAAAAAAAAAAAAAAGGAGGAGGGGGAGAGGAAAGGACCCCCCCCCCGGAGAAAGGGGGGAAACCTTCAAAATTTTTTGAAACTCATCGTATTTTCGCGCAACGTATCTGTCTAGACCCAGTAAGCGAAACCTGTCGATTCTCGATCCCGATTCCCCTTCGAACGCCATGAGCGACCCTTTCCATCGACTAGGTCTCAGCAGCTACGCAGCAAGCCAAATGACGCCAATAGCTCAAATCCTAGGGACTTTCTAGTTTTCTTTCTTGGTGTATTTAAACGTGTACTCCAGGGCCTGATATTTTAGTGTTTATTATGTACAGGCTTACAGAATCGCGGGCAAACAGTTTGCCAGAATTAACCACTACCAAAAAATGTACACAAAATGAATTCTAGAAGCCGACTTCTCTATGCCGTACCCAGGGCTGCGGGTGCCACCCGTCCGCAAAAGTAGAAAATTAGAAAATTTAGCGCAGGCACCCACAACCGCACACGTATCGATGGCGCGAGAAAACACGTAACAATCCAGAAAGGAGACGAGTGATACAGCAAAAAAAACCAGAATTCTCGAAATGCCACAATGGCGAGTGGGAAATGTTTTCAGTTTTTCTAAAAGAGGCAAAGGAGATATTCGTCTAAAAATCACGAGTAGATTAATTAATATTAATATAGAGAATTAATGATTGGCCTAGTAATAGTTTGGTGAGAAATTAGTGAGACGGTCGATCGACCGTCTCACTCGACCTCGATCGAGGCACCATTCATTGGCCGGTCTGACCCTCCGCGGCGCAGGCTTGGATATGGCCGCCGCAGCATTCACATTCGTCGCCGGGTGTCCAGAATAGAGTGTCACCGTACGTGATGAGGAGGTCGAGCACAACACCGTTCGTCCAGCCGAATCCCTCCTGCACGTCATATTCACCGCCTCCGGCGCCGACTTTGTAGCATGGCGAGACGACATTGTACTGAAATGAAATGGTCAGTTTTGAGCTTTCACGTCGTGCACGATATTTCGCCCGAATTACTACATACTATTTTATTCCTGGGGGCCCCGTTGGCCCCAGTAACCAAATATAAAGTGTTTTTACATCGTTTTTCCCAAGTTACAATCATAGTTAAAGCCGAAAGAGAAAGTCGAAAAATGAAAAACGAATAGAAAAATGTCGCTATTTTGGCTCAAAAAAATCAATTTTTCGACATAAAATTAAATTTTAGCTAAAATTTGTTCTTTTTTCATGCTTAGGAATAGTTAAAAGGCCATCCGCGGGTCACCCGAACAGTCCCCAATATGGATTGTCACAGTTTTTTTAG